TAGTTCAGCTGGTCCCTCAGGGAGAGTATTGTTAAATCAAAGCTTTATTACAAAAGATGCCATTTATAACAAGAACATGGCTTTACATATTACTGTACATTTATTGATACAATAATGTTAACACAGAATTAATGGACATTTGAATTTAATGAATATCTTGCTTTCCCTGAATGTCCATTAAACAAGAAGTTTTTCTATATTATGAACTTTGGAAATTAGTATATTTTCATTATTTGGTAATTTTTTTACAATGCAAATAAGCAGGCCAGATCTTATGAAAATATTCTAAAGGAAAAAGACAATAGTTACACAATGTGCTTTCTGTCTGCCTTTGAAGTGACTTGGGAAACTCTTAGTCAACACCAATTAGATGGTTACATAATCAATCTTTCTATCAGCTAAGTTTTGTTCTGAAGAAGTAAATTAGCTGTGTTTTTAATCAGTTATTACTATTTGCTATACTTTAAAAATATTAATTTCAATACAGGCAGTCCTCAACTTACCATGGTTCATTTAGTAACCATTCAAAGTTACAATGGCACTGAAAAAACGGCACTGATTTATGACAATTTTTCATACTTATGACCATTGCTGCAACCCCATGGGCATGCGATCAAAATTCAGACGCTTGGTAACTGAAATGTATTTATGACAGTTGCAGTGTCCAGGCTCATGTGATCACCTTTTGTGTCCTTCTTACCAGTAAAGTCAATGGGGAAGCCAGATTCCTTTAAAAACTGTGTGACTAACTTTAACAACTGCAGTGATTCACTTAAGAAACGTGGTAAGAAAAGTAAAATGGGGTAAAATTGGTAAAATGGATTGCAAAATTAAAATAGAGCAAAATTCACTTTAAAAAAACATTTCACTTAACAACAAAAATTTGGAGCTCAATTGTGGTCGTAAGTCAAGGACTACCTGTATAACATCATAAAAATATTTTATCCAGGAATACAAAACAAAGAAAATAAATCTTCAAGCATTCAGAGGAATTCAGGATGGTCTTTGTAAACACAAAAACTTATATAATGCTAATTTTAAAAGAGAAATACATTTTGCAAGTATTATTTTCTTATAAGCAAATGTTCCAAAAGACTGCTGCCTATTTGTTCTCGTCTCACAATGCACCATACAAAACAATAAATGCAACAGCTTCCCAATCAGCTTGCTTTTCTACTACTTATTAATTCAATATGAAGCAGACTACTTAGAAGTCTATTAATTTTCCTTACCTGTACTTTTATTGTTCAGCTTCAGATAAAGAAATAACTCCTTCGTTTGATCTGAGAGAGAGAAAGAGAAAGAATATAAATGTAAAATGCCCCAGTCCTTTTTCACCTTTCCTTCTTTTAACCACGCCCCCATTAAATGAATATTGTAATCACCACCCAATCGCTTGCTTCTACTTTTTAGCATCATCTCAGGCTTCCTTGCTGGATTGGTGCAGCTGCCTCAAACCAGCTAAGCTGATTTCAGTAGCCATGGCAACAACCACTCCGTGAACATTATGAAAAAGGAGGAATGTTTACTGAACTTTTTACTAATCCCTGATCAAGTAGAACGTATGAATTTAGAAATGGAATTAAAAGAAAAATTATTTGCCCCGCATTGCTTCCTCACATTCTTTATTCCATTTAAACATCTGGTCTACATATTTCTCCAAACATTTTGCTGCTTCTTAAGTTTCACAGGAGATACAGGTTTTGGAGAAATTATTGGTTAATGAAATTAGTTTCAGCTACTTATATGATTCCTTGAATGTTCTGTTTTGCAAATAGAAGATCAGTAAAAATGTCAGATTAGGTTCGTATGATCCTAAAGTCAAATTTCAACCACCCACAATAAAATTTGAGAACTGCATTTTTCAGAGATGAATTAACTAAAGAACTATGAAATGAAAGAGACAAATAAAACCTGATTTGATGATACCTATCATTTGTCAGTATATGCGTAGTAGGGAACTGACAAACGGGCGAAAAAGCTTTTATGCAACTTGTCTGTGGAGATTCTCAAGTCATGCAGGTTTTCTCAAAGGTGCTTTTCCAAAAGGCAACTGGACTGGGGGAGGGAGAGAGATGGAAGGATTGTATTGCTTTGTAGTTATCTGTAGTCTGTAGCACACTCCCCTAGATCTCCTGGAGCTACTTGAGGGTTTATTTTTTATATATATTTTTATAAAAATATAACATCTAAATATATTAATATAAGATGCATTAATATTATATATAATATATACTTATAAGTCTGGTTGACTCGGCATTCCATCCTTCCAAGGTCGATAAAATGAGGAGCCAGATTGTTGGGGGCAATATGCTGACTCTGTAAACTGCTTAGAGAGGGCTGTAAAGCACTGTGAAGCAGTATATAAGTCTAAGTGGGATTGCTATATATAAATATATAAGTATACAATATTAATATATGTTAAATATAAACATATTTTTAAGCAGTATAAGCAACTTAGAGGGCCACCTCGCTTATAGAGATAGTCCTTGACTTACAATTCAGTGACGATTCAAAGTTACAACGGAGCTGAAAAAAAATGACAATGACCGTTTTTCATATGACAGTTGAAGCATCTCCAAGGTCAAGTGATCAAAATTCAGACACTTGGCAACTGACTCATATTTATGACAGATGCAGTGTCCCGGGGTCACGTGATCCCCTTTTGTGACCTTCTGAGAAGCAAAGTCAATGAGGAAACCAGATTCACTTAACAAACTACTAACTTAAAAACTGCAACGGTTCACTTAACAACAAGAAAATTCATACAATGGGATAAAATTCACTTAACAAATGTCTCACTTAGCCACAGAAATTTTGGTCGTAAATCGAGGCCTACCTGTACTCATTCCTGACACAGTATAAGAAAAGAATAAATCTATGGAGCGAAATGAAAATGTCATATTAGTGCTTAAAATAACTTTAAAAGGAAAAGAGCTGAGATTAAATTAATACATACCTTCAATAGCAGAAAATCTGGTTTTAATGAATTTAGCAAAAGCTGAGTAAAATACTAGGGCTTAAAATTCTAAACGATACCAAGTTTAAGGGGGATAGGAAATTCTAAATGCACAGGCGGAAGCAGTTCCCCTGAAATATCTTGTTGAGAAGCAATTGAACTTTAGATTTTAACCACCGTATATACACATATAGCTCTCTATTGACAATGCTGGCTCCCTTGGCTAAAAAAATGGAGATCAGCACTGCTTCCTAGGGTCGGACACAACTGGACAGGGGAAATTTTTATCTTTTCCTCTGCTTGAACAACTTCCTGGGCAATCGGATTGATCCTAAGACGGGGTGAACAACTCAATTTCATTGAGGGCAGCATCAGGGTTGTGGTTGACCTCGAAGGGCCAGGTGGTCATGGGTGGGTGGGTGTGGTCAGATCAATGTAGTTTGCATCGGGGGGTGCCTATGGCAGCCCGGGTGGGGCTGGGGGGAATTCACTGTCTCCAACATACGTCCAAGGGTTGGGGCGGGGAGCAGCTGCTCTCTGGCCCCAGAGTGACCCCACAGATCTAAGGCTGACCGCGTTCCAGCCTGGATGGCTACCACCAAATTTTAGATCAATGCCTGGCCAGACTAGGGCAGGGCCAAGGCACCAGGGGCTGGTCTTTTGCTATTTCCAGGGTAGCGCTGTGGGCCAGATCTAACCACATTGTGGGCTGGATCTGGCCTGCAGGCCTTGAGTTTGACACTCCTGTCCTAAGAGATCATGACTGCATGAGCAAAATACCCAGCTAGAAACTGCACTACAGGAGCTCCTCCATAACAGATAACAAAGACAACAAGAAACAAAGCAACGTGGTCATTCCGTATGTTGCAGGCGTATTGGAAAAACTCAGGAAAATCTTCAGCCAACATAACATACATTCACACTTCAAACCCAAAAATACCCTAAGGCAGAAGCTTGTCCACCCCAAAGATAAAACACCCAGACAAAATACGAACAACATGATATATGCAGTACAACTCAATGAGCAATGTGCAGAGTTGTACATTGGGGAAACAAAACAACCACTTCATAAGTGCATGGCACAACATAGGAGAACAAACACATCAGCAGTCCATCTGCATTTAAAAAGACACAGGCCACTCTTTTGAAGACAGCAAAGTCCACATTTGGACAGACAGACTGCTGGTTTGAAAGAAAGGTTAAAGATTCCATCTATGTCAAAATTGAACAGCCCTCTCTCAACAGGTGGGAAAGGATACATCATCATCTATCTCCAATCTACAACACAGTCCTTTAAACAGTTCCAAGAAAGCTCTACACCCATTTGCACCAACTCAGGTGACCCTGACCACACAGATAAACCTCCAGGTGACCTTAATTCCTGGCTAAAAGAATGCAAATGACCAGCTGTCTGCAAGGAATATAAATCCTTCCATTCTTCACATTCCAATCAGAGCTGAAGATGCTTCTTGGATGAAAAGTAAAATGTCTTCAAAGAAAAACCAGAAAGTCCAGTTGTGTCTTGAAAAAGCACTTTTGGGACAACCATGACCTGGATGACTCAGAATCTCCATAGACACCTGCTATAAAGCTATCGGCAGTCACCCCCACCCCCATCAATTGTTTCGTGTTTTACATTTTTGAAGTCACAGAAGAGGCTAAAAAAACAACTGCAGGGGAGATCAGGCTTATTTAAAAAACAAACCCGTATCTATCCTTGCCATTCCCAAAGTCCATTAGTGTCTACCAGACACTATTTTTTTAGATGAAAGCTTACTTTTGCTTCTCATCCTGGCAGTTTCTCCCAAGTACTATTGGCACGCGAAACAATGCAGGGCGTGTAGGGAGCACAGCTTCCGGCAAAGAAAACACTCTACTTATTCTTTGCCAACCCTTTGCAAATTTTATCGGGTTCTTTCTCTCTTCCTTCCCTCCTTCCTTCTTTCTTTCTTTCTTTCTTTTCTAATGCTACCTTTCACCCGGAAGCAGGTCCCAGACTTGCTGCATAGCACCGCTTGAAACCCACCTCCTCTCTGCGCAGAGTCGAGGAGGAAACTACCGGAAGTAAAAGAGTTGCTTTGGGGAGTGGCGGTCGCAGCGGCGGCGGCGAAGTCGCTTTTCTTTTTCTCCTGGGCAAAGTTAAGGCGGGTAGGAGACAACATGGGCAGGACAGTGACCGTGGCAACGTGTGCCTTGAATCAGTGGGCGCTGGATTTTGATGGCAACCTGGAAAGGATTTTCAAAAGTAAGCCGAAGGCTACGTATGGGCTGTTTGCAAAATGCAGCTCCAAAGGAAGATGGATTTTGTTTTTGTTACTTTCAGTGGAAGTTAATGTTTATTAATAATTAAAATAAGAAAGGTGACTCTGGATGCATCTTGGATACACTGATTGTTTTCTATTCATCCATCCACCTTCCAAATCTGCACTGATATGTTTATATCGCACCTTTATTGTTATAAATACCGCAAGAAGGCGAACATAACTTAATCCTCTTTCCCCCGCCAATTTCCCCACAACCACACGGTGAGATAGGTTGGGCTGAGAGTGTGATAAGGCAGTATTAAACTCAGGCTCCTAGGTTTGTAGCCTGATGCCTTAGAACCCCGTAACTGGCTCTCGGAGTGGTATGGTAGTTAATTACAGCTTGGTAATTGTTTTTTTTTTAGTCCTAGCTTTTTATAGTTCTACAAGCCTAACTATTGCTGATCCTCCCTAATTTATGTACACAGTCTTATTTTATATAGCTTGATTGCTTGGCTGTCCTCTGCTAGCTTTTTATCTGAAGAAAAGGCATCCCTTCATTTTATTCAAAGAACTAGAGAACCCTCTGAGGTTGGTTGGGCTGAGAAAAATTAACCCAATTGCAGGCATTGAGTTTTTTAAATCCAGGTTTCCTCAATAGTAGTCCAATACTTTAGGCCCTACAGTTCATTAGTTTGGATATAAAAACACAGGTGAAAATATGGTTTATTACAATGTTTATGTTATTGTTACTGTTTTGAGTGGGGCTATATAGAACTTTTCCCTCCCCAATATAGTAATTTGCTATATCGAGAAGAAGAGGTGTTCAGTTTTTTAAAAAACAACAACACTAAATTGTTTAATTTCTCAATATTCTCACTGCTTCACAGATTCCCTTTATCAACTTCTTTGTGGTAGTCAACCTGGTCCCTACCGCCCACTAGTGGGCGTTCCAGCTTTCATGGTGGGTGGTAGGGGTTTTGTCCCCTACTTTATAAATCACCATTACTGTGGAACCGGTGGGCGGCTAGAGAAAACTTTACTACTAACAGAGATACAAAAGTGGGTGGTAGATATAAAAAGGTTGACTACCCCTGGTGTAAGGTATACATTTGGTTTATTACCCATAACATTTTCTTGTATGATATATTGCATTGCATTATAATTATTTTATTTTATTTTATTTATTTGTATCCTGTCTTTGTTATTTTTACAAGTAATAAAAGCTAGCACATCTTCCTCCTATTTTCCCCACAACAAGCAGCCTATGAGGTGAGTTGGGCTGGGGCAGAGCAATAGGATGTGGAAAGCAGTTTTATTATACTATTTTTGAACTACAAGAAATCTTAACTTACCTGTTCTCTGAGCTAAGAACTTGCTTTTAGAAAGTATGAGAAATAGGAACTTGGTTTTACAAGGTTCCCAAAAATCTCAATTGTCTTGTGTTCTCAGTCTCTTGCTCAAATGTTTTCTTCCTTTGTAAAATTAAAGGATACACTTAACACTACCTATATTTCAAAGCATGGGAAGCTTTCTGTGACAACATATTGAAGATGAATAAAAATTCTAATTTAATATCCTAGGTATTGAAATTGCTAAAGAAAAAGGAGCAAGATACCGACTCGGCCCAGAACTTGAAATTTGGTTAGTAATTCCCAACTTGTTTGTATAAACCAGTAAACCATTACCCCCAACTTTTAATGTATTTAAAATCTATTTTATTCCATTCAATTTGTATATGTCTACACATTTAAATGTTAAATATTTGTCCTGAAGTACGCCTTGAAGAAAAATTATATAGAAATTGTAATAGGTGTACTTCAAGACAAATTTTTAGCAATGAGGTTTTTAATAAAGACTCACTCACAATTGTGGAATTGCAGATGTTGGTAGACTATAAATTTTATTCTACTAGTAGACCATGGATGAGTTACATAAGGTAATCTCACTTAAAATGATGCAATATGAGACCAATTTTCCAAAGCGTTATTGCTTTCAGTGACATCCACATTAGCAAAAATTGGGTACCAAAATTAGATCTTTCAATTTTCTCAGCTTTTAATTGGTTTAAAATTGTATTTTAACTTTTGATTCATATTGTTTTAGAATTTGAATGAGACTTTGCTGCCATTTTGTTTGTTTATTTTATTTTTATTTATTTATTTATTTTTGTCAATTGCTTATAAAATAATAGGTATAAGTAAAAACATAGTTATGAATACATGGATACATATAAGAAAAATTAAAAAATAAAAGAAACAATAGGACAGGGACGGTTGGTGCGCTTATGCATGTCCCCTACAGACCTCTTAGGAAAGGGGTGAGGTCAATAGTAGACAATCTATGGTTAAAGTTTTTGGGGTTTGGGGAAGAAACCACAGAGTCAGGTAGAGTATTCCAGACATTGACCACTCTGTTGCTGAAGTCGTATTTCCTGCAATCAAGTTTGGTGCGATTAACCTTGAGTTTGTATCTATTGTTTGCTCTTGTGTTGTTATGGATGAAGCTGAAGTATTCAATGACACATAGGACATTGCAATGTATGACTTTATATACTATACTTAGATCGGACCGAAGGCGATGTAGTTCTAGGTTTTCTCGGTCTTAATGTATTTTGTTATAAACTGTCTAGAGAGCTTTAGTTATTAGGTAGTTTAAAAAAAATTGTAAATAAAAATAAAACAGAAATAGTAATCTAACAACTTATTTTGTTACATATTCCTAGTTTCTCTAACACATGAATATATAAAAATGTGTAGACATATATAAATTAATTCTGCATTGTTATTATATAGATAAGGTGAATAAAAATGCTTATAGTGATACCGTGGGCCTTATTTTTTTTTTTTTTTGAGCCCCCAAAAGATGGCTAGGCCGTCTTTTCGGGGGTGACTTAATTTTCCCCACATGCGTGCCCCACTTAGAGCACCCCATGCGCAGACTCGCCTCACCATGAGGCCTCTTCTATCAGCTGATAGAAGCACCCTGAGGGCAGAGTCACCAGCCGCTTCTATCAGCTGTTAGGAGCGGCTTCATAGTGAGGCAAGGCTACGCATTGGATTCCCAACGGCAAACTCAATCACGTACATATACCGTTGTCAGAGTAAATATCAGACAAACCCAAGATTCCAGTTGCATTTCTGCTTCCTGAGCTAGCCGCTCTTCTTCGTCCCCTCAGATAGCCCTATTTCCTCCCACCCTCCCTCCTTCCTGCTCCCCCCCACCCCCAATATTCCAGTGCAACCACTTGGATGGAGTGGTGGATAGGTGGATAGGTGGAATCAGCTTCTTTAGCAACCCTCCTGAGAGGGAGGAGACAGTGTCCAGATTGCATCGTCCCATGACACTCCTGGGACTCCGTCCAAGTGGTTGCAGTGGGATATTGTGGGGGGGATGGGCAGGAGGAAGGGAGGGCAAGGGGAAATAGGGCTATCTGAGGGACGAAGAAGAGTGGCTAGCTCAGGAAGCAGAAATGCAACTGGAATCTTGGGGATGTCTGATATTTACTCTGACAAAGGTATACATACATGATTGAGTTTGCTGTTGGGAACCCAATGCATAGCCACGTCTCGCCACGAGGCTGCTCCTAATGGCCGATAGAAGTGGCTGGTGACTGCCCTGCAGGATACTCCTAATGGCAGTTAGCGACCCGTGGGCAGACGTGCCTCGCTACCAGCCGCTTCTAACGCCAATAGAAGTGGCTGGTGACCCTGCCCTTGCAGCGCTTCTATCAGCCAATAGAAGCGCCCTCGAGAGGTGAGTCTGCCTGTGGGTCGCTCCTAACGGCTGTTAGGAGTGCCCAGCGGGCAGCCACAAGGCCACTCCTAACAGCCAATAGAAGCGGCTGATGACTTTGCCCTCGGCCGATAGAAGCGGCTGGTGGCAAGGCGATTCTGTCTGTGGCGCTTCTATTGGCTGATAGAAGTGGCTGGTGGCAAGGTGAGTCTGCCCGTGGGTTGCTTTAACCGAGGCTACCTGTGGGGCGCTCCTAACGGCAAATTTCCCTCCTCTGTCCTTCCCCCCCCATTTTTCTTCACCTCATGTTGTTCAAGCGATATGAGAAATGGGGAATGCATGCTTTAAATAGGCCCAAATTTTGGGGGCGGGTTTTTATTTCACCTCATGTCTATAAAACAGTGGGCCTTCCTATTGGGGGGGGCGTATTGTTGGAGAAACACGGTATGAATTTAGAAAATCCATCTTATGCAAATAGTCTGAGATGTTATAATTTAATTCATATCTCTTATTTTATTTTCAGTGGCTATGGCTGTTCAGATCATTATTATGAATCTGACATACTGTTACATTCGTTTCAAGTTTTGGCTAAGCTTTTAGAATCTCCTGATACTCAGGACATAATATGTGACATTGGGATGTAAGTATATTATTACTTGACTGCATAGTGAGGCTCTTAGTAGGAAAGAACCAGCAATGCTAGCTTCAGATGAAGTTAGCTGGTTAAAAGATCGTTTTCTTAACAAAATGAACATTTTAAGTATTATCTTTCTTCAAATGTTGTATTAGGTGACAGTATCTAGTATCTATGGCAGATAATTGGGAAATTCCAAAACTGTTGCTTAGACATGAAGTTTAAAAAAAAGTCATGGAAGACAGGTATGGCAAACCACTTTCTTATTGCTGCCAAAATGTTACTGCCCATGTAGTCATCCCAGTTCATCTCAGTTTGAGATAATTTTTACTTTAAAATATGAAAAATGTAGTAATGTTGGTAATCAAAGTCCAAGCTTTAGGTAAGATTTTGTAAACTACATAGAATTAGGAGGAGAGTCATGTGTTGAGATTATTTATGTTTTCTAGATTAAGGTGCCTAGTGCCTAGTGGTGTGAAGATATTATCAGTATTCTGATTATTGCAGTAAAAGATAGATATTTTAGAAGAGAAGCCAGTTAGTATTTTTACAGTGTGTTGGCAGTTAAAGTAAGTGTAAGATTTATAGTACACCACTTGTTGAAAAGATTGATCTTCAGTGTTAAACATGTGAATACTGTTTTATAATAACAAGGTAGTTTAAAAGATTAATATTTGGTTCCTTATATATAATAAATAACAGTAGTACAAACAGATATTTTGGAATGTACTTTTGATCATCTTAATGAGATTGTAATTGATATAAACAGAAATGAAAAATATTTCTTGCACGTGGTAAAAAACAGAAATTTGAATGCAATCCAAAATCAGTTTATATTCTTGAAATAAAAAGGATCCAATTTTAAGTAAGGAAATATATAACTTAATATCTTTACTTCTATAGGCCTGTTATGCACCGGAATGTTCGTTACAACTGTAGAGTAATTTTTCTAAACAAGTAAGTAATTAGAAATACTGTTTTGTAAGCTGCCTAGAGTCACTTGATTGAATTGGCCAGCTATGAACATCAATCAAACACACAATCAAACAAATGCTGTCTGCCATCTTGTCCTGTGATCCCAGATAGTCATGTTCTGCCTGGAACTGATAATATGAAGCCTGAGAAAAATTGGGATTGAAATAATGAAGATTTTAATGCACATACTGAAGTTTTTCACGTTAAGAGAGTAAGAGAAAGTTGAAAAGTGGGAAATAGAGCTGTTGTTGGAGTTTTGGAGAGATGGAGAAGATAGTTGGAAAGGCAAGATAAATTTAGGCAGCATTCCTTTTGAGGATTTTGCCAGTTCCAGAACGAATAAATACCTCTGAAGCTTTGCCTATTCCAGGATGTTCCTAAGAACACTGAAAGGTTCCAGGGCAAAAGGAAGATAATTGAAAATGAAGGACAAGTATATTTCTAGCGTTTTACCCTTCATAAAATTTTGAGGGAGGAAAGGATCTGAAAAATCAGCTAGCCATTCAGAGATTGCTCACCAAGTGTAATTAAAGCCTTTGTTTAACTCATCAACCACAAGTTGGATAGGATCAGTGATGGGATTCAAAAGTTCCCTCCTCGGTTCTGTGGGCATGGCTTGGCGGGCATGGCTGCAGGGGTGGGATTGCACGATTGTGTGTCCCAAACGTGCACTTTGCACATGCGTTAAAACAATAAAAACTAAGCTACTGCGCCTCTCAGCTGTTTAGCACAGCAATCTGCTCTGCCGCGCCAAACAGCTGAGAGGTTAAAAAGGACCTAGGAGCAGGGGTGGGTGGGTAGGCTAAACTGCAGAGTGTCGGAGAGGCTCGGAGCGAACCAGTTCTCTGCCAACTGGTCTTCGGCATTACCGGTACTCCAGAACCAGGCCGAACCGGTAGAATACCACTATTGGATAGGATATGTTTATTTGCTCAAGCCAAATGCTGCTTATGCAATTAATCTTGGCTAATAAGAGAAACCAGTATATTTATCTTGCAACCTTATGAATAAAAGATGAAAAAGGTCTTTGGTTGCTGAGTTTATCTAGTTAAATCCTGACATCTTATCTCATCTCCTCCAGGGTTGAAAATATAGTTATAATGAAAACTGGAGTAAATAACTCCAGCCTATTAGAGACTTGTACGAGGCTTTGAATGTTCAATGGAACAAACTGCTTTTTAAAGAACTTACAGGTGAAACTCGAAAAATTGGAATATCGTGCAAAAGTTCATTTATTTCAGTAATGCAACTTAAAAGGTGAAACTAATATATGAGATAGACTCATTACATGCAAAGCAAGATAGTTCAAGCCATGATGTATCATAATTGAGATGATGATGGCTTACAGTTCATGAAAACCCCAAATCCACAATCTCAAAAAATTAGAATATTGTGAAAAGGTTCAATATTCTAGGCTCAAAGTGTCCCACTCTAATCAGCTAATTAAGCCATAACGCCTGCAAAGCGTTCCTGAGCCTTTAAATGGTCTCTCAGTCTGGTTCAGTAAGAAGCACCATCATGGGAAAGACTGCTGACCTGACAGTTGTGCAGAAAACCATCATTGACACCCTCCATAAGGAGGGAAAGCCTCAAAAGATAATTATAAAAGTAATTGGATGTTCCCAAAGTGCTGTATCAAAGCACATTAATAGAAAGTTATGTGGAAGGGAAAAAGGTAGAAGAAAAAGGTGCACAAGCAGCAGGGATGACCGCAGCCTGGAGAGGATTGTCAGGAAAAGGCAATTCAAAAGTGTTGGGGACTTTCACAAGGAGTGGACTGAGGCTAGAGTCAGTGCATCAAGAGCCACCACACACAGACAGATCCTGGACATGGACTTCAAATGTCGTATTCCTCTTGTCAAGCCGCTCCTGAACAACAAACAACGTCAGAAGCGTCTTACCTGGGCTAAAGAAAAACAGAACTGGTCTGTTGCTCAGTGGTCCAAAGTCCTTTTTTCTGATGAGAGCAACTTTTGCATTTCATTTGGAAACCAAGGACCCAGAGTCTGGAGGAAGAATGGAGAGGCACACACTGCAAGATGCTTGGAGTCCAGCGTAAAGTTTCCACAGTCTGTGTTGATTTGGGGAGCCATGTCATCTGCTGGTGTTGGTCCACTGTGCTTCATTACATCCAGGGTCAATGCAGCCGTCTACCAGGAGATTTTGGAGCACTTCATGCTTCCTTCCGCAGACAAGCTTTATGGGGATGCTGACTTCATTTTCCAGCAGGACTTGGCAGCTGCCCACACTGCCAAAAGCACCCAAACCTGATTCAATGACTGTGGGATTACTGTGCTTGATTGGCCAGCAAACTCGCCTAATCTGAACCCCATAGAGAATCTATGGGGCATTGCCAAGAGAAAGATGAGAGACATGAGACCGAACAATGCAGAAGAGCTGAAGGCCGCTATTGAAGCATCCTGGTCTTCCATATCACCTCAGCAGTGCCACAGGCTGATAGCTTCCATGCCACGCTGCATTGAAGCAGTAATTGCTGCAAAAGGGGCCCAAACCAAGTACTGAGTACATCTGCATGCTTATACTTTTCAGAGGTCCGATATTGTTCTCTGTACAATCCTTGTTTTATTGATTGCATGTAATATTCTAATTTTCTGAGATTGTGGATTTGGGGTTTTCATGAGCTATAAGCCATAATCATCTCAATTATGACACATCATGGCTTAAACTATCTTGCTTTGCATGTAATGAGTCTATCTCATATATAAGTTTCACCTTTTAAGTTGCATTACTGAAATAAATGAACTTTTGCACGATATTCTAATTTTTCGAGTTTCACCTGTAAAAGACAAGGTGGTGTGCCTTTTTCAGGAGGCAAAATATTTCAGAATGTTGGAGCGATTCCAGAGAAGACACGCTATCAACCTACATAACTTTATATACAGTAGGGATTCTCAGTAGTCCTCCATGAGACAGATCCTGATGAAGTAAATGGTTCTGTAGGTATCTGGGAACCAAGCCATGTAGGCCTTTAAAAGTGACAACCAACTTTTGAATTCTTGGAAGCAATGAACAGACAGGAGAGGGAGGGAAGGAGAGAAAGGGGCGGGCGGTCTTCACTGGAAAATGGTTCTATGTCAGTATTCTTAAAATGTGCTGCCCAGAACTGGATGTAACCAGAAGAATGGCAGGCTAGAATCATGGCTTCTTGTTATAACTCTGTTCACATAGCATAGAATTCGTATGTTTGACTCTCTTTCAGTGGATTTGGTCTTTTTCAAATATGGTAAGTTATCATTTAAAACAAATCTCTTTTTTTCTTGGTTGCATGGTATATGCTTGTAACAGGTTTTCTTTTTGTTTTGATCAAGAAAAATTCTTCTGATACGGCCAAAGATAGCATTGGCAAATTCAGGAAACTATCGAGAAATGAGGTGGTTCACTCCTTGGAATAAATTACGGTAACCTCTCTTTGTATTTGTTTCTGTGCAAATTAGTCTGAACATTTGGGTTGCCTTTGATATTTGCCACTGTAAGTCTGCATTGAAAGATCTTTTGGAAGACATTGTTATTTTAGAAAATATTTAGGATATTAGCATCCCTGTATTCTACGTCATTGCTGATAATACTTGCTAAACGATGGCAGACCTGTAATAATATAATGGCTTTGCAAGACACTAGATTCTAATTGTCTTAACTTGTATAGAATAATGTAAACAAACTATGTTCTCTATGTTTTCTATGCAAATAATGATCGGTAGATAAAACTGAGAACTGGTTCTGCTTGTGGCATTATAGGAGCTTTTCTTCAACCCTTTTCCAACAAGTATCTCTGGAGTATACCACTATGTGCTCATCCATCTCACTCATTTTTGATGGATCTTATTGGGTTAGCTGCAGGGACGGGGTCCGACTGGTATAACTACCGGTTCTGTCGCTCTGTGTCATGCGTGCATGCACGAGTCGCGCAGGTACAATTTACGACCTGCTGAGCTGCCCCGTCAGCTGAATAGTGCTGCATGCAAGTGCGCAGCGGTTGGAAAAGCCCTTTTTTCCTGCTTTTTCAACTGCAGCTGTGTCGCGCAAAGCAGCTGCAGTTGAAAAACTAGGAAATAAAGGTCAGATAAGAGTCCGGGCAGGTGGGCGGGCCAAAACAGCAGCAGACATAGAACCGGTTCTATGCTGCTCTTCAGAACTACCGGTTCTACAGAGGTGGACAGAACCAATTGAATCCCACCTCTGGTTAGCTGCCCGTGGTTTCCTCACAGCAACTGGTCCCCTCCTTCAGAGCAACCTGCCTGGCTGGTAATAGAGATGTTCCATTCACACCATGTGTTTTTGCATAGAGGTTATTTGCCATGTCGGGATGTTTCACTATGGTGCTGAAGGGACCTGTCAGCTGCACTGTAGGCAGGGGTGGGATCTGACAGGGTTAACTACCGGTTTGGTGATTTACGAGGTTTGGTGATTTACGATGTGCTTCCCTGCACGCTGCTTGTGTGCGCCTGTAAATCGTCGTCAGCACACTGCGTGCAGAGAAGCAGCCTTTGAAAAAACACTTTTTTCCTGCTTTTTTAACTGCAGCTGAAGTTGAAAAATCAGGAAACAAAGGTCAGGTAAGAGCCCGGGTTGACGGGTGGGCAAAAACATCAGCAGACATAGAACCGATTCTATCTCTGCTGCTCTTCAGAGCTACCAGTTCTACAGAGGTGGACAGAACCCGTAGAAACCCACCCCTGACTGTAGGCTAGTAATATTGTCCACAAATGGACTGTGAATGATCTATGGGCAGCACTTGGCATCCACTGAGAAAAAAGGTACATTTTACAGATGATGTTGCACTGAACCTCAAAAAATGTTCTACATCCCCCAAATTACATCTGCCATTTTGTGACTGCAAAATGCAACAGAAACAAGGTTCAAACTGCACAGATGGAAAAACCTCTATGATCTTACCAGGATTTGATTTCTAACAAAGGTATCCCAAATTAAGGGCAACAATACTACAGGTAAAAGAGTTACCTGTGCAAAAACTGACCAGTACTATACTTAAGAATTACAGGGAAGCTGCATGTCTGTCTCTAAAATGTGTTATGTGAAAGTATTTGAAAAGCATTTCTTTACTAGGCATGTAGAAGAATATTTTCTTCCAAGAATGATCCAAGAGATTACAGCTCAGGTAATATTCTTTTTTCCTGCATTCAAGAATGTTTTTTTTTTGAAAGACTAGGTAAATGGCTGAAATGAAATTCAAGTCTTTCTTCTCTGAGAATTCCTGGAGTTGTAGGCTTAGTACTTGGGAGAGACCAAGTTAGATGAAGATTTTCTTAACATCTTTGGAATTGCAGTTGTGTAACCAATAACTTTTAATCTTGCTTCATTTCTCTTAACTTTTGAGATATGATTAAATAAAAAAATAGTTCCTTGACCTAGTTACTTGCTGATACCTGTGAAATACAAGGCATCTCACTTAAAGCAAAAGTTAAATAAAATAAACCTTGGGCTGCTTACTTTTTTCCTAAACTTTTCCAAAAAGTGATAGATCTTTTACCAGCAAGATACAAAAAATTGTAGACAGCATGTGCCTGTTTTGAAAAATACAGCAGGGGTGAGATTCTACATGGTCGCATCTATTCGCTAGAACCAGTTGTTAACTTTCTAAGCAGTTCAGAGAACCCGTTAGAAGAAATACTTTATTTTTTTCCACTTTACTGGCTCAATCCTGTAAGGAAGGCATTCCTTACATTGGTGGTGTTGCTTACAAAAACTGCCTCTCTGTTTAGCCCTTATTACATTCTTAACAGGACTATACTTTCTGTCTCCAGAGCTTCTTTGGAGTTTTTTTTCTCTCCTTTGCTGGTACTTTGCTGGTGTCCAGCCTGAAATTGACATATATGTATAGCCATTTCACTTGGAAACCTGACAGCTTGACTTTCTTAAAGGGGAAGGGTTGTTTTCAGCTTTTTACACTGCTGTTGGGGGAAATATTCCCCTGTTGGTTAGCACTTTGAAGAAATAATTGAATAACAAAGCAGAACCGCCGGAAAGAACCTTTAATGTCAAGGAACCAAGATGAGTGACATTCAGTAAGGCTTCTTGGCTAGCTAGAAAGATTGACATTCAAACATGAGTTTACATACCCTTTCTGAGTTTGGTCTAAAACTAGTTTTTGGTGAAGTTTAATCCTGTGTTTATTGATGGGATAATTTTCCCTATTCAGCTTTGTTTAGAAGGAAAAAGGTTGATCTCTGTTCCTGAAAAGAAACTGGGTTGAGAAATCTGGCTAGTTCCTGTGTCTATTTGTTCTGATAATTGGTTTAACAAGCAACAGTTACTGTTGTGTTTTAATTATTTGTATTGTGTTTGAATTTTTTCCTGTCTCATGGTTTCTTTTTCTATCTGGGAAAGGGGTCTTCCTTCACTGCTTTAGTGGTATTTGGCACTGATTTTTTTACTGTCATTCTGGGGGCATGTGATCTTTCCTTAAATCTGGATGATTTCCTTAGGCTATCTTGTGAGGTGAGTGAGACCAGCTGGTATATTTAAGTGGTGCAAATGGATCTGAGGATTGCTTTTCCTGGGTGTGCTTTTTCTGGAGAGCTTAAATAACCTCTCTGCTAAAGGGTTTCACTTTATGAGCAAGAGTTGGCTGCTTGATAGTTATCACTGCATTTTAACTGTTTTAATTCCTCAAGGTGCTCAGGAACCCTGCCTGATTTGTAACTCCAGCTTGCAGGTATTTTTAATCTAATGATTGGTATGTAGGGCAGCTTTTCGCAAGCAAAGAAGCTTTTTGTATTTTTGTACAGGTAATCCTTGACTTAACAACAGTTCATTTAGTGACCATTCAAAGTTACAATGGCACTGAAAAAAGTTACTTAAGACCGTTTTTCACACTTATAACTGTTGCAGCATTCCCATGGTCAGGAGAGGCCAGGTGAAGAGAAGTGCCCCTCGATCTGAATGATGTTGAGTTGGCCACACCCACCCAATCACATGACCACCAAGCTAAGCCCACCAGCTAAGCCACGCCCACAAAGCCAATTGTTTAAAAATTTGAATCCCATCCCTGAAATACAGGCTTTATCCAAAAACTCAGTTCAGCCTACATTTATTAATACTTAAGAAAGTAAGCCTTAAATATTTATTTAACTTTGCTACTTAATAAACTAAAGAAGTACTGTATTGTTTATAATTTCCAAATATTTTGTACCTGAAACTTACAGTAGACTTACATGAAATCCATACCATAGCAGTTAGTTAGTCCTAATGGTGTTTTTCCCAATATGCAACTAGACTTTGGGGTTTTTTTTTTTCCTTAGAAGTTTCACTTCTCCTCCAAGAAACTGCTTCAATTCATAGACATATACCTGGTAGATGATATCTTTTTAGTTCAGCTAAACTATGGTTTGAGAAAACAATATAATAAGGGCAGTCAACATGTTTCTTACAGAATGAATGCAGTCCCAGAATCTCTTCTTCCCTTGGAATTCTTTAAAACTCATGCTGCTAAAATTCAGAAATGAACAGCAGCAGATTCTTGGTGCCTTTATATGCTGGTCTATGGACTGTAATAAAATTTGGATTGGATTGGATTAGATGCATACAAAATAGAAAAGTTTAACATATGAAAATAGTAGCAAGGCAAATGTTCATTCCTACTTGGGGCTGCCTTTGAAGGCTACTTGGAAACCTCAATTGGTATAACGTGACAGCCAACTTGCTAGCAGATGAGAGCCACTTTAGGAGCATGAAGCCTGCAGCAGGCATGTTTCCAAGTACTATTCAAAGTTCTGATTATAGGCCCTATGCAGCATGAACCCATTTTTTTCTATGGGACCACCATCTTTGGCTAGAATGTACCCATTATGTGAATTAGCTTGGAGGTAGATGAGCAGATTCCTTCCCCTTGGGAGTCTGAGAAAAGTGTAAAAATGTATCAGTGGCAGCCCCTTCCTTTTAAAAGACCTTATTTCATGAAAGTCAGATGACTTTCACACTTTTGACATCCTGATGTGGTGAAGACCATATTTTTTATTAAGAAATGGAGCTGAAGGTATTCTTGTAGATGTTTTTAAAAACTGGTTTTAATTAATCATTTTTAGTTTTTATGATTCTAGAAGCTATTCAGAGTCTTGGCTAGAATACCTGCAACCAAGTATTTCATTTTCCCTTCTCATTTGCCCAACATCATTTGAGTTATTATCCCAATGTTTCTGACTGACAGGCTATTTTCTTTGCATTTGGATATTAAGTACCTATCCATGTCTTAATCACACTTGGGATAAAACTCTTCCTTTTTATTGATCCTATTTCCAGTTATGGGTTCCTTTTATTTCATCTCTGATGGCCTATCCCCATTCTTTCTTTATCTTAGGAAAGTGTTCCATTTGGTGATGCAGTACTAGCAACTTTGGATACTTGCATAGGGACTGAAATCTGTGAAGAATTATGGATACCAACCAGGTAAAAGGGATAGGCTTTAGTCATCTCTATAATTTGTTTAGAAGTGTTAACTGCACTAACTTATGTACACAAAGATATTTTTGAAGAAATTGAATATTGTTTCTTCAGTGCCTTATTTTGAACTTTTCAATAGTTCTTTCCACAGGGCTTCTGCTAAAACAATACGCAACAAACCAGAACTTGCCAGATTATCACGCAGAAATGTTTGCTTCCCAAATGGAAATGTCATAATTATTAGAGATAAGGATTCTCTGAAGGTGGTATTAACATATGGGAATGTAGATAAAAGATTCCTATATGTTGATACCACTTTCAGAGGACCCTTATCTTTCATTACTTTTTAATATCAGGAAAATCACAAAAAGCCAAGTAAACTCATAATTTCACTATTAGGCTGTAATATACAGGTAGCCCTTGACTTATTCAGTGACTGTTTAAAGTTGTGGCAATGCTGAATGAAGGGACTTAGGACCATAATATCCAAAATGATACTATGATCAGTTGTATCGAAGGCCTCTGAGATACTAAGGAAGGCTGGGATGCATGCACCACCCCCATCCCATTCCTGCTATAGATCATCTACAAGCTTAGTCAGTGCCACTGGAGTAGTACTTGGCCTGCAACCTGACTGAAAGTGCTCCAGATCAGGGGTCGCCAACCTTTTGGACCTCAGAGACCACCAAACTCATAATTTTAAATCCCAGCGATCAGTAACCAGTTCTGTGGGCGTGACCTACTTTGTGGGTGTGGCTTGGTGGTCATATGACTGGCTGGGCATGGCTTGCATGTAAATATTATAAATATTTATATAAATATTGAATTTTTTTTTTAAAAAGAGCAACTTTTACCCCATATCAGGAAAAAGCAGGCAGGCATATTGAGTTGCTCACAGAATCACAGATTCGTTCAGAAATCTATCTATCTGCCATCAGCTAACTCAGTCTAGAATTTGCTTGCAAGCAAACTCACAATACATCACGTATATAAATATTGAATTTTTTATAAAAAAGAGCAACTTTTACCCAAAATCAGGCAAAGCAGGCAGGCAGATTGAGTTGCTCACAGAATCATTAAGTGATCTATCTACCTGCCATCGGCTAGCTCAGTCTCTCAAATTTGCTTGCTGTGAGTCTGCACTGAATAATAGAACCTTCAGTCATAAGAGAAGTTCAACTATGCTTAAAAATAGAGCCGAAGATCTAAAGAGTAGCTAGAAAGCAAGAAAGCCAACAATTTCCTGCTTCCTAGCTAATCTAAATCTTCTGGCACAGCAGAACAGATGATGATCGGAAAAAAGAAAAATACTAATTTTAGCAGGCAAGTTTCCCTGGTAAGGAGTGAATGGGCAGGGAGTGTTCCTGCGGGCCATGTGGACGGCACAGCCTTGTATTTCTGCACAGCCTGGATTAATTGCGTTGAGTGGGGTGCTCTGGGGGTGAGATTTCTCTGTGGCCCACCAAAATTTTCTCGCGGCCCACCGGTTGCCGACAGCTGCTCCAGATGACCCACTTCCTCTTGAGCTCGAACATTGCACCCAAGCATGCTAGGTTTCCAGCACACTGAGGCCATGTGATTGCTGACATCACCGCCTCTGACAAATGAGAAAGCTACAGATGCTACTGGGTATATGTCTACTGCTCCCACAAAAATCTTCAGTGCCACTGTCATTGGTGCTCAACAATTTAGACCTGACAGCTGATTGGTGGTGCTTCCAGGCTTGCACTCTGCACCTCACAGTAGATGATCTGTGGCATTGCTATAGCTGAATAGCTGGTTTCTAAGACTGACCAAGCTGCTATATCTCCAACATATTCTCCAGCTTCTGATGGTATCTAGGAGCCAGCTTTCTCCCAAGCTGGTTGCTGGCTGCTTAGAGACTCCAATTACTTTAGCTTTCACTACTAACTACAGGTTGGGTTTATAAAACAATTCCAGTAGCACAAGAGGAGGAATCTTTAACTTCATACATCACTACCACCACCCCTCAAATATACCATTAAAATTAACCTTCGGCTTGCCATTAATGTTAGTAAGTCAGACAATCAATCAATCAATCGCAATAATTTCACTGAATTTGTATTTTTCAAACAAACAGGATGTTCCTGCTGGGTTAGTTGCTTACAAATTCCATTAACAGCTCAGTTCTTTTACTGTTTGCAGTGTGTCACAATAATAAAATGAATCTTTTGGATAGCATGGAGACAAGCTATTTATTTGCTTGCTATTTATTTTATAGCCCTCACATTGAAATGGGAATTGATGGTGTGGAAATCTTCACAAATTCCTCTGCAAGTCACCATGTGTTAAGAAAAGCACATACTCGAGTGGAATTGGTGAATTCTGCAACAGCAAAGGTATCTTCTTGGCATATTTTTACATTATATGTAGTAATTTTTAAAATTATTGTTACTCTGTCTCCAGGAAGGTGCCACCTGAGTCCTTGTTGCCACCTGAGGCTCATGGACGCTGTGACATTTATCTGTTCAGTACATCTTCTCCTTATAACTTCTTACAGTTCTGTCACCAGAAATCATCTCTATGTAGAAAAGTAACTGTTTGCAGTTGCAGATTTGCATTGTACCTATTAAAGGATTTCAAATCTTAAAACAGTCATGATTGCTTTGATGTAGTAAAATGCATTTTTGGCACATACTGGTTTGCTTTCAATATTACTGTGCCCTGGATAGCCATATTACTTCAGCGATGGCCCAAATAGTGATGCTTAATGCTATTCTGAATAAGATTGCAAAACAGTTCCTCTGCTGTTTAAAAGTACAATAAAAGGTTGTTGTAAAAGGGCTGTGAAAATATTTACAGCCCCCTCACATCCCAGACATAAACTGTTTCAACTCCTTCCCTCAAAACGACGCTATAGGGCGCTGCACACCAGAACAACTAGACACAAGGACAGTTTTCCCCCAAAGCCATCACTTTGCTAAACAAATAATTCCCTCAATACTGTTCAACTCTTACAAGTAGTATTCTGTACTACTATTACTGTTAATCTTCTCATTGCTCCTTATCACCCATCCCCTCCCACTTGTGACTGTATGACTGTAACTGTTGCTTGTATCCTTACGATTTATATTCATTGTTTCCTAGTGTGATTTGATTGCTGATTGTACTCCATGACTATCATTAAGTGTTGTACATTATGATTCTTGATTCTTAACGAATGTATCTTTTCTTTTATCTATACTGAGAGTATTTACACCAAGACAAATTCCTTGTGTGTCCAATCACACTTGGCCAATAAAGTATTCTATTCTATTGTAATTATCAACACATGCATTTACACTAATATACATTTGTTTTCCAGAATGGAGGAATCTACATCTTGGCAAATCAAAAAGGCTGTGATGGTGATCGCTTGTATTATGATGGATGTGCCATGATATCTATGAACGGTGCTACAGTTGCTCAAGGACATCAGTTTTCACTGGATGACATAGTAATGCTCTAGCAGGCGTGCAATGCTTGATAATGTTGGTTAATATACATTACAGTATTCTAAGAATACTCTTATCTGTGAGGGTTGGCACACAACAGGAATTTTATCAATATCAGTGGGGTTAAAAAAGCTCAGAGTTCTTCTGTGCCTCCAATGTCAACTATATAACTAACTACAATTGCACCATAGACCTCTAGTGAAAAAAGTGGTTTCAAAAACAAAGGGTGTTAATTTCTCTCTCACTTTTTTTTAGGAAGTCCTAGTTGCCACTTTGGATTTAGAAGACGTCAGAAGTTATAGAGCAGAAATATCGTCCCGAAACTTAGCAGTAAGAATTTCTTGCTCGCATTTTCATTGATAAATAAATGAATGTTTAACAATGTGTGTCAGGCATAACACACATTTACAAGCAATGAGAATGGAGCAGAATTGTCAGGTACATTGCTTTTACTGAAAAATATTGTCTGTGTGGTGTGACTTTATTTTTCTTTTTTAATTGACCAGGCAAGCAAAGTGATTCCTTATCCTAGAATAAAAGTAAACTTCGCATTGTCAAGTTCCGATGATATATGCACACCTACAAGTGAATCTATTCAGTGGAAGTATCATAGTCCTGAGGAAGAGATCAGGTAGGCAAAATAGGTTATGTATGACTTTTCCTGTACCAAGAACATGTGGCTGGAAGCTATAGGGAGGGGAGGAATAGATAGCAGAGGGACATAGCAGCATATACTCAGAATTGGTAGAGGGTTTGGTTGGTTAGGTGTAATTCCTATAATCTTTAGCCACTCCGTCTTCATTCTTTTTAGCTTAATTCTGCTTTTCTTTTCTATAAGAATGATCTTATAGACAGAATTAGGAGAGAGGAATATCCTTTCTTAGCCAATTTTCTTTATTACAACTAAGAGTTTAACTACAAATTAGTTTTAACTAGATAACTAATACAATGTCTGCATAATCCATAAAGATTCCCAATTTAAATTTGCATAAAATGATGTCTTATGGCAGGGGGTACCCAACCTGTGGGCCACAGTCCACTGGTGAGGGGGCTGTGAGGGGTTTGCAGGCGGGCTGTAGAAATGACTGGAGAGCATGCACAGGCATGCATCCCCATTTGGGGAAAGCAGTGAGCGAAGGTGTGCACACTCTCTCCATTTGTGTGCACTTGTAAGCCACTCGTGTGAACCATCCCTCCCTCCACTGGTCTGCAAAGCTGGAAACATTGGGGTGGGATTCTACTGGTTCAGACTGGTTCGGGCGAACTGGACGTTAAGTTTTCATCTGGTTTGCCGAACCGGTATTTCAACTGACCGGCTGGCCCAGCCCACCCTGCTCCGCCCCTTTTCAGGAGTCTCCAAGCGATGCAGGTAAGTACAGGGTCTGTGCGGAGGCTCTGGGAGGGGGAAAAACAGGCCTTCTGGAAGTCCAGCTTCTGGAGGACCTCCAGAGCCCGGGGGAGACCATTGTTGCCTTCCCAGAAGACCAGGGAAGGCTTCTGGAACCTTGGGAGGGCGAAAAATGGCCCTCCTGGAAGTTCTGTGGCCATGCCCACCCACCAACCGGGCAGTGAACCGGTTGTTGGGATTTTTGAATCCCATCCCTGAACTCTGCCCTATGGTATCATATGCCTCTGGAAATTATCTTTTCTGGAAGGAAGGAATTTTCATTTAGAGTAAGAACCTTCAGCTGCAGTGAGGGCACAAGAACTTTGAATAAAACCTAAGCTCTTTGGAATTTCTTCTGAGTAACCCTACATAATTGTGCTATATGTGATGGATAATTGTGCACAACATAAATAAGGGACCATTGCTTTACTATAAAACATTAATGACAGTAACTTGTGATCCCAGGAAGACAAATGACATGATTTTGTGAAAGTGTGCTTTTTAATATTGGTTTTAAAACATGTCTGCTGTATTTCAGCCTAGGTCCAGCATGTTGGCTTTGGGACTACTTAAGGTGCAGTAAACAGGTAAATATTTTATTTTTTTTATTGACCCAAATTCTAAGCAATGGTAAAAACTGTATGAAGATTTAAGGAAAGAAGGGAAGGTGTGTGTCTCTGTGTGTATGTATAAAGTAGAACTTGCAGTAGCGGTGGATCTATATATGTTGCCTTTGTGCTGTTTATGACTCACCACTTGCAACATCATCTGTTTGATGGCTTGATGTGGCTCTAGAGCAGTTGCAATGAAATTGAAACTGGTTTACACAGGAAGAGCTTGGGAATGGGCATTCTGCCATTGGCAAAACACCTGCCTGCCTTTCAACAGAGCATAGTTCCCTATTAGAGCAGGTGTCACTCAAGGATTAGTGCTTAGACCTGGCCCACGGGTCCTCCCTAGAAACAGTGAAGGACTGGCCTGAGATGCCTCTGTCAGTGAAAACAGAACTTGGGAAGTCCTCATATGGCCCTCAGAGGCTCCATTTTCAGTCACGATGGCCTCCTGCAGTCCTCTACCAGCAAAAACAGAGCTTCGGTGGGCCGGGTGATGTCAAGCCTACCCCCCCCGGCTCCCCCAAGGTCAAATAACCCTGATGCAGCCCTCAATGAAATTGAATTTGACGCCCTTATATTTTTTTGCTCAGGTTTCACCCTGAGCAAAAGGATAATGCGTTAGTGGCTTTGCAGCTGAAATTTTTGAACATAATTTGAAGTAAGTGAATGCATCATGAGTTGGAATTGTGATGAGCGGTGCCTGGTGTTTGTCGCACTGCCCATCTGCTAATGACTTAAAGCAGGGATCCCCAATCTTTGAGTCAATAGGCATACAGTGGAATGTCTGGTCACGACTGTAATTCATTCCGTAACTTTGGTTGGAACCTGGTTTGGTAGTGACCGCAAGTGAGACTGTGCATGCGCCTACAAAAAAATTAGTGCAGAAAGGGAAATTGGCATGGAAAGGGAATCTGCCATGGCCATGTTTGATCGCTATCCGATTTTTGAATCGTGATCCAATTAAAAAATGTCAGGGTTTTTTTTTTTTGGTTGGAACCCGATTTGGTAGCGCTCAGAAGTGTTTGTGAACAGAGGTTCCACTGTATTTGGAAATTATGAGCATGCTATGCATACTTTCATAAATGGAGGTAACTCCAATTTATGAGAGTATTTATGCACTCTATACATGAAATGTAGCAAACTCCTTATGCCAGAACTCAACTTTATACTATACAGATGAACATGCTTTTAATTAAGTGATTATTACCCGGTGATAATCATCTGGAGATATCAAATGCCTTTGATATCTGTGTGAACTCCAATGTCAAGGTTTCGACCAACGAACCCAACCCAGCAAGCACTGATGAAACGATCCAATCTCTTAATGCAGGGTTGTCAAGCTCTTGGCCAGAAGGGGAAAAAACTCCTGATACGTCACATGATGCTCCTATGATGGCATGAGTTTGACACCCCTGCAAAGCTTTATTGAGTACATCATTTCGGCACAGCACGTAAGCAAAAACCAGTTTTAGGGAATTCGCAGGCAATTCAGTATAATTAAAATATAGAATCTTCCCTCGCCCCATTAGTGTAGGTCTAATTAGGTGTCCAGATGTTTATGGGAAAGATCTAGTTTCTTGTTATTGTCTGGAATACACATTCCTTTCAAAAGTGAAAGTAGTTTGAAAACACTTTGAAGCTTGATATCTAAAGATAAATCTACAAAATAAACTGCTTTAGTTTGCTGCTTTTCTCTGAAGTTAGTAGTTTCTAATTGACTTGTTTTCTAATTAAAAGAATCTTTATAGAGAATGGAGACAGGAAACTTAGTAAGCTCCAAGGCTTAACGAGAAAGGCTTAATTTGGAAAAATGCTACAGTTGGTTAACTGTACTATTGCTGCCATAAGTTGGTATACAAATTTAATTGTGCTGATAATATATTTACAAAGTATATTTAGGCAGTGTGCGTTTGCCAGGGCACTCATAATTTATATTTTGTGAGGTTATTTGTCATAATTCAGAAAGGCTGATAGGGTGGGAAGGGGAATATAAAACAATTCAAATACCAATTCTTCCATATTCTTATGTAATGGCTGTCCTTAATTGTCATTGCTAAGAGAGACAGCTCTGAAAAGAGAAGATCCAAATAGTAGACACAGAGAGTTCTTGACGTACAACAGTTCACTTAGTGACTTTGAAGTTACAGTGGCACTGAAAAAAGTGACTTATGGCCATTTTTCACACTTACGACCTTTGCAGCATCCCCATGGTCATGTGTTTCACATTTATGATGCTTGCAGTCTCCCAAGATCATGTGATCCCCTTTTGTGACCTTCTGACAAGCAAAGTCAATGGGGAAGCCAGCTTCACTTAACAACAGTGTTACTAATTTAACAACTGCTGTGATTCAGTTAACAAATATGGCAAAACTCACAACATGCAAAATGAAGCAAAACTCACTTAACAAATTTCTCAGTTCACAACATAAGTTTTGGGCTCAATTGTGGTCCTAACTTGAGGAATACCCGTAGTCTCAGACAAACTGATACAAAGAACCTTCTTGTCTTACCTTTACAGCTGCAGGATTTTAGACAATATTTTCTACATCTGTTTTCAAATAGATTAAAAATTGTAAATTACCGGTAACCTTCATTTTGAATGCTAATAATTATGGGCCATTCATGGATAATTATGGCTAGAAATAAGTAATGTTGAACTATAAAATGAACAGTTTGAAGATACAACTGAAGAATTGAATACATGGTTCCCAACAATGTCCTAATTTGGTTTCCTTATTGTAATTGTTAAGGGAGGATTTTTCTTGCCACTTAGTGGTGGTGTGGACAGTTCTGCTACAGCCTGCATTGTCTATTCCATGTGTCTTCAGATTTGTCATGCAGTAAAAAATGGAAGTAAGTGCACTTGAGCAGTATGGGTTACCAAAGGTTAGTTGTAGTTGTGTCAGTTTTCATATTTCTAGGAAACCCTTTCTATGTTTAATTTGTTCATTGATCATAAATTACATCATTGACATCGTTTGACATTAACCGTTTTAGAAATTGTACAAAATGAACTGAACCTTTTGCCTGGTTGGGGTGTGTTTGAAGAGATGATTCCACCAGACTGTCAATCATTTGGAAGCCTGCACTCACAAACAAAAAAATCTCCACACCACTAGCTAGGCAAACACCTGGGCACAAACAGATCCCCCCTGATACCTCCAGCTCAAACACACCCCAACCAGGCACCCAGATGAAACCTAGCTTCCTAACAAATGATAGCCATCCATTTACTCGGAGCCAAGCTGCACAAAAGGCCTCCAATAAAGGAATACAATGTTGCCAGCCAATCAAGACACACAAAAAAAGCCACAAAACAGACAGAAGATATTAGAAACACCAATCAAGCAGAGCACAGCTAACTCCAAGACCAATAAACACAGACCAAGACTCCCAACCAATCAGGATGAAGAAAAAACCATTCTGGCACAGCAGTAGGCTAGCCCCAAATTTAAAACTGAAACCACTGTAAAAGTCTGACTCATAGACGAACACAATACAGAAGCCTGATGATGGCAGATGAGATTCTGCCGAAACGTTGCTACAACTTTAAAAGCACAACTATAATGACGTGGGAAAATACCCAAACAAAGCTGAATATGTATGTGTGTGTGTGTGTGTGTGTGTGTGTGTGTGTGTATGTTAAGTTTTTGCGGGTACTTACATGTATGTTATTCAGCTTTGTTTGGGTATTTTCCCATGTCATTGTAGAAATTGGGAAAATACCCGAACAAAGCTGAATAACATACATACATACATACATATATCTATATCTATATCTACATGTATCTATATACGTATACGTATAGGTATAGGTATATGTATATATAGATACATATATACATACATACAAACACATACACACACACACACACACACACACACACACACACCATATTTTTCGGTGTATAAGATGCACTTCCCCCCCCAAAGTGGGTGGAAATGTCTTGCATCTTATACACCAAATATTGTCGAAGGAACGGGCCAAAAACAGGGTGCATGGAGGCCGAAAATAGGATGCAGAGGCTGAAGATGGGGCATGCGGGGTTGACAATAGGTGATGGCTATCTCTACAGACTGATACAGTGGACAGTGGGGAGGCCAATCCAATCAATAATCAGCTGATTGTGTTCAATCAGGCTGTGCTGAGGCTGACCAGGCTGTTTGCTGTTTGCTGCAAGGAGGCAAATTGTTGGGAGGCAGAGGCAGATTTTTTTTCTTGTTTTTCTCCCCAAAATCTAGGTGCTTCTTATACTCCAGAGCATCTTATAGTGTGAATATGTATGTATGTATGTATGTATGTATGTATGAGATTTGCATAAAAATAAATCAACAGACTTTTGATAATCTAATCCATAGGATGCTTTATTAGGGAAGATACTGCAGTATTGGACCCCCAACTCCCAAACCAACCATATTTAGGAGGAAGTAGACGCTTCCATTTAGTAAATACAGCTTGTATAGGTTTATCAAATCATATGGTTACATAACACTTCCTGTTGTCCATGCATAGAAGTTATACGTTTTCATAAGAAAGTTCCAACATCTCATGGAAAACTCCCAACATTCTCATTATAGTTATATATCTTGTTTTTCTCCAAATGGTTACACAGGTGATCATTAATATACCTATAATGTCAAAATGTTCTTCTTATAAACGTAAGCCAGGAACAAATGGTTCCATAACCAGACAGAACACCAGCAAAGCAAGTTTCATAACTTTTCTGCTTCCACCCATCTAGTCAAATGATCAACAATATGCCACCCACAAACCCAAACTATCGATGACACATTTGATGACACATTTGTGATTTGGCCCCATGGACAAGAAAACCTAAACAATTTCCTAACACACTTAAACAGCACACACCCCAAAATCAAGTTCACCATGGAAACAGAAACAAACAGCTACCATTCCTAGATGTACTAATCTACAAAAAAAAACAACAGATGGCACACTAGGACAGTCCATATACCAGAAGAAAACACACACCAACCACTACCTCAATGCCCAATCCCACCACCACCCAGCACAGATAAACTCTGTGGCCAAAACACTAATTGCTAGAACCAAACGCCTGGCAGACAACACACACATAAAGACTGAACTATGCACCCTGACTAAAGTACTGACAGCCAACGGCTTCCATAAAAGCAAAATCACCGGCTTGATCCACAAAAACACACTGAGACATAATGGAGACCCAGAAGATGAACAGACCTATGGAACAGCTGTCCTGCCCTACATAAGAGGTGCTACAGACAAAATCAATAAGATTCTACACAGGCATCACATCAAGACTGCCTTCAAAACAGACAGAAAAATAGCAGCCATCCTTAGAAACCCCAAAGATAAAATTGACCTGGAAAACCAAGGCATATATGAAGTTCCCTGTGCATCATGCCCGGCCACATACATTGGACAGACCAATAGAAGAATAAGTACCCACCTGGATGAACACAAAAATGCAGTAAAAAAGCTGGACCACACTTCCTCACTAGTCCAACACATGAAAGCCACAGGTCATAGCATCAACTTCAATGGCACCAAAACCCTAGCCACTATAGAAAACCCCAGCCACAGAATCATCAGAGAAGCCATAGAGATTGAAAAAAGACCTGAAAGCATGAATACAAGAGATGATTCCACCAGACTGTCAATTATTTGGAAGCCTGCACTCACAAACAAAAAAATCTCCACACCACTAGCTAGGCAAACACCTGGGCACAGACAGATCCCCCCTGATACCCCCAGCTCAAACACACCCCAACCAGGCACCCAGATGAAACCTAGCTTCCTAACAAATGATAGCCGTCTATTTACTCAGAGCCAAGCTGCACAAAAGGCCTCCAATAAAGGAACACAGTGTTGCCAGCCAATCAAGACACACAAAAAAAGCCACAAAACAGACAGAAGATATTAGAAACTTCAATCAAGCAGAACACAGCTAACTCCAAGACCAATAAACACAGACCAAGACTCCCAACCAATCAGGATGAAGAAAAAACCATTCTGGCACAGCAGTAGGCTAGCCCCAAATTTAAAACTGAAACCACTGTAAAAGTCTGACTCACAGATGAACACAATACAGAAGCCTGATGATGGCAGATGAGATTCTGCCGAAATGTTGCTACAACTTTAAAAGCACAAGCTGAATACCATATATATGTATGTATTTATGTATGTAGGTCTAGGTGTTTTCGGGTCTTTTCCTGTGTAAGATTAAGAGTATCTTGATGACGTTTTGGCAAGGTCCCACTCGCCATCCTCAGGCTGGTGCTTTTGGCTTTGTGCCAGTGCAAGCAGTGTGTGATCAGAGCTGCTGTCTCTCTATAAATACTGGTGGGGGGGGGGGTGTGCTGGTCTGGTTGGCTGTGCTGCTGCCTCTTGATTGGGGACGATACCTCATGAATAAACGGGATGATACCTCCCACCTACCAGACATCTGGAAATTAGCCCTCACCAACAAATGAGTCCCAGCCACGAAAACCAACACCAGACCCAAAACAACACGGGACACCACCGCCAATCCCCCTCATCAGACCCAGGCCCAAACCCACCCTATAAATGAAGGACAATCACCATCCAGAAACCAGACCACGGCTGCTTCGCCAGCTGTTGCACTCCCCCACCCCCAAAACAAACAAGCTGACACATGCCAAGAACACAGACCCAAACCCCAAACTCGAAGCCAGACCAAAACCCAGAATGCTACATCACAGCCACCCGCTCAGGATATCACATCAGAAAACTCAGGAAATTACACCACAAGAACTCAAGAAGTTGCAACACAGCAAACAACCCAGGAAATCACAGCACAAGACCAAGGATACCACAGCAATAAAACTCACAAGGTCACCACACAACCCATTACCCAAGCCGTTACAACAGAGGAGGCTAATGGAAAAGAGATCAAAACACAAACGACCCAGGAGATTAAAGCACAAGTTCCAGGATATCTCCACAACAAAACTCACAAGGCCATCACACAGCCCATTAGACCAATATCAACTCCATCAACCAATCAAGAAGCAGCAGCACAGCCAACCAGACCAGCACACCAGCCCCCGCCCCCCACCAGTATTTCTAGAGAGACGGCAGCTCCGTTCACACACTGCTTGCACTGGCATGTAGCCGTAAGCACCAGCCTGAGGATGGGGAGTGGGACATCGCCGAAACGTCGCCAAGATACTCTTAATCTTACACGGGAAAAGACCTGAACACACCTAGACAGACAGACAGACAGACAGACATAAATACACACACACACACATACATACATAACAGAGGGAGAGAGGGAGGGAGCGGGGGGAAGAGAGACGGGGAGAGGGAGAGAAAGAGAGGGGGGGTAGCGATCACACTTTGCTCGTACAAGCACGAAGCCGAAAGCACTAGCCTGAAGATGGCGAGTGGGACCTCGTCGAAATGTCGCCTTGATACTCTCAATCTTATACGGGAAAAGACCCGAACACGCCAAAACCTGCAGATATATACAGAGAGAGAGAGAGAGAGAGAGAGAAGGAGAAGGAGGGGGGAGGGGGGGGGGGAGGAGGGACAGGTAGCATGCATTCTCTTCAACCATGCTGTCATTGACTATTGGTTGCTGATAAAGCATTCAATATTAACATGTCTTATGTATTAGCTATCTGTTTTGTGATTCCTTATTCTCCCTACATCTAAATTATTTTTAATTTTATTAGGCTAATTTCATGTCAATAACATGCTACACTCTATAACTAAGTTCCGTAAAGTGCATTTTCTTACACAGTATAACATAATGGGTTCCATGTTGGACTAAAACTTGCATAGGAACACACTGTATCAGAATCAAAAACAAGTTTAACTCTTTCTTTTTGAAATAAAGAAATGTTTCTTAAACATTCTCTCACTCAAATTTAATATTATTGCACGCATGTCCTGATTTAGGTCTTTCACAAATCTGTAAATACATCAAACCACATTTCCGTTGTACTTATGACACTAACTTCTGCCACAATATGATTAAGTTAATTGTTCAGAATAGAAGTAAATGTATATACGCATTGATCTGTAAATTTAAACACTTAGTGTTGTTTAATACAGGGGTTTATTTTATGAATTGAAATAAATGGTTTTCAAGTTTGTATTCTAAATACAAATGTGAAAATAATGTTTTGTCACACTCCTTTTTCCTGCCTCCTTGTCTTTTTTCAGATCAGACAGTTTTGGATGACATTCGCAGAATTGTAAATGATGAAATGTATATACCAAAGGAAGCCCAGGAGCTGTGTGGCCGTCTTTTAACAACCTGCTATATGGCTAGTGAGAATTCGTCTCTGGATACATATGACAGAGCCAAGTCTTTGGCTGAAGAAATAGGCAGGTATAAAAATTAACATTGAGTAGTTAAACTATATTGTGTGTTTAAAAAGTATTCCAGCCCCAATCCAGTATGATACTGCTAGTAAAAATCCTCAAATGCAATATTGCACCTCTATCTTCTATCTATATATATAAAAGCGAAATACCACTCACGCTTTATCACAAAATCTCCAGAACTGTAAAGCCTACAAACTTGAAATTTGGCACGTATGTTCCTCTTGGCTTCTAGGTGCTCACTAAGAAAGGATTTTTCAAAATGACCATCATAGCATTAGTATTTTGTATATTATTATTAACACGCTCTGATGCTAAGGAGTTCTACTCTCCCCCACCCCTGAAAATAAATCTGTTCCAAATGCAAAACACAAGCAGAGGAGAGGAGTTTCAGTTTCAGTTTTAGTTTCACAGCACCAAGCAGCTTTAGTACAGAACAGTTCAGCTAAGCCATGCCCAGGCTCCTTACTTTCTCTTTCTTGCTCACACAGCAAATACTGTTTCACTTTCCAAACAGTCCTCAACTCTCTCACACACTGACAGGACACTAGCCAGATGACTACCGATGGATCCTGGTAGGCAGAGGCAGTATTTTTTCCCCCTTATTTTCCTCTCCAAAAACTAAGCCTGACCACATAGTTTCGTAGTGAAGCACGGGTATGGAGCTTGTTAAGGAATAAAATGTATCAGAGGTCACCATGAGCAGTATTTGAAAGAAGGGAACATGGTTTAAAAGTGTCAGTCTGCACTTCAGGTTTGGTGAGGGCTTTCTTGTAACTTAAAACATTTCCCTCATTAACCAATTCCATTTTCCCCCCTTTGGGGCATAAATAGTGCTGTTCAATATGTATTTATTTAAAAAAAGTCTTCCTGAGCGGCAGATCTTTCATATAAGAGGAGATGGAAAAGCATTTCTTGAGTATTCAGATAGATATATCATCATTCCATTTTGCTGTCACAAAAACTATGGCAGAAAAGAGTTTTGGCATGTTTGCTAGAGATGGGTAGGTATACTGATGATAGGATATCTTTAGGCTTTTCAGATAGCAAATTTGAGGTTGGTTGGCGACATGATCTTTCACAACATCCAGTGGTTTTAAAAAAAAGTTTTTCTGAACCAACCCAATTATGCTACAACTACTGAGCTTCTTTTAGTCCATTTCACCTGCTGTTTTTGTTCATGGCCTAAATTTAAGAGAGGGTTTCAAAATGAACCCCTATGAAATGTTGCTTGTCACATATGAGGCAGAAGGCTTTTTTTTCCAGATTAGAACAACCATGCATGTAATCCAAACTGCTTTTAATTACTACTCTCCTCATTCCTACTAATAAATTCTCTTTTTTTTTTTTGCCAGAGAGCAATCTTTCTCAGCCTAGTGCATACATTTCACAAACACATTTTCTATTTTACAGAAAAATGCAGTAGGCTAGCATTTGCCTGATTAGAGATAGTATTAGCTTTAAAAACTGGGAGCCATATTTGTGAAATAAAACTCTCTTAAAAATGTGCATCTTCAAGTTAGCTGCTTGCTTCTTGACATTTACTTGGACAGGTCCCTGTAATATTTGTGGCAAGATTTCAGAAGTGCTTTACCATTGCTATTAATAGTCCTTCTAGGCCAGCGGTCGCCAACCGGTGGGCTGCAGCCCACTGGTGGACTGTGAGAAAATTTTGGTGGGCTGCAGAGAAATCTCACCCCCACAGTACCCCCCCCAAAGTAATTAATTCAGGCTGTGCAGAAACACAAGGCTGCGCCGCCCACGTGGCCCGCAGGAACCCTCCCCACCCACTCACTACTTACCCGGCAAACTTACCTGCTAAATTGCTATTTTTCCTTTTTCTGACCATCAAATGTTCTGCTGTGCCGGGAAATTTAGATTAGCTAAAAAGCAGGAAATGGTTGGACTTTTTTGCTTTCTAGCTAGTCTTTAGATCTTCAGCTCTGCTTTTAAGCACAGCTGAACCTTCCTTTAGGACTGAAGGTTCTATTATTCAATGCAGACTCATGGCAAGCAAATTTGAGAGACTGAGCTAGCTGATGGCAGATAGATAGATCACTGAATGATTCTGTGAGCAACTCAGTCTGCCTGCCTGCTTTGCCTGATTTTGGGTAAAAGTTGTTCTTTTTTTAAATAAAAAATTCAATATTTACATACGTGGTGTGTTGTGAGTTAATTTTGTGTGTTTGCTTGCTAGCAAATTTTATGAGTTTGCTTGCAACCAAATTTTATGTGACAGACTGAGCTAGCCGATGGCAGATAGATAGATCACTGAATGTTTCTGTGAGCAACTCAATCTGCCTGCCTGCTTTGCCTGATTTTGGGTAAAAGTTGCTCTTTTTTTATAAAAAATTCAATATTTATATCAATATTTATAAATCTTTATAATATTTACATACAAGCCATGCCCAGCCAGTCATGACCACCAAACCACACCCACAAATTAGGCCATGCCCACAGAACTGGTTACTGGTCCCTGGGATTTAAAATTATGAGTTTGGTGATCCCTGAGGTCCAAAAGGTTGGCGACCCCTGTTCTAGGCCAAGGTCATCCAGCTGGCTTTGTGTGTAATGCACAATGCTTAAGGGCAATAGCATTTAAACTTATATACTGCCCGCTAATGCTTTACAGGACTTTCTGGGTGGTTTCCAATGTTGAAGTGTGATTTGCATATTGCCCCAAATAATCCTGATCCTCATTTTACTGATTGTGGAAGGATGGAAGGCTGAGTCAAACTTGAGCCCTGTTAGGATCAAAATCTAGGCTGGGGGCTGAGTTTGCCTGTAATTTCTCACATTAACCACTGTGCTATCAGGGCACTTAAAAGATTGCATAATGCTTAAAAAAAGCATTATTGAGTTTCTGAATTAACACCTTTCCTTTATTAACCTGTTGTGCATGTTTTGTTTGTTATTAGTGCTAGTTTGGATTCAATTACAGAGGCAATATTTCTTTCTCCAGCTATCATATCAATGTAAATATAGATGGTGCAGTAAAAGCCATTTTGGGGATTTTCAGTACAGTGATGGGACGATCTCCTCAGTATCAAGTGCATGGAGGAAGCACAAGAGAAAATCTGGCTCTACAGAATGTGCAGGTAATATAATAAAGAAGAATATTTGTAGCTCAGAGTTGAAAACAGGGGTCCTTGGAGTTCTCTGAGCTTAGTTGTTTTCTTGCAGACATTTCATTACCCATCATTAACATCATCAGTGCTGTTATAGAGTTGGTTTGCTCTTTGTTTATATTCTAGCACCGTGGTGGCACGCAGAGCCCTCTCTGTGGGCACTTGTGCCATTGCCAGCTGCTCTTCTGGTTACTGGTGTGCACATGCATGCCGCCCAACTGGTCTTTGTGGGAGCCAGCGTGCTGGAAAATGGCCTGAAAACAGCCTGAAAAATGGCCTGAAAATGGCCCCCCAAAATGATAAAAACCAGGCCATTTGTTGAGCCATTTTCAGGCCATAAACAGCCTGGAAATTGGCCCCAGAACCTGCCAAAAAACAGGCATGCATGCACCGGCCAGCTAGTCTGTGGGTTTCTGGTGCTCCAACACACGCACATGCATGCACGTTCTGGTTTGGGCACTCAGTGTCGAAAAGGTTCACCATCAGTATTCTAGTGGCTTGCCTTGTCAGTATTAATGGGGGTTGTCTTAGAGCAGGGGTGCCAAACAGGCGGCCTGCAGGCTGGCTCTGTCATGCACAGGCCACACCCACCCCAGCTCTGCCAGGCAAAATCACACATCATCAACGTGATGTGGCAAGTTTGACACCCGTGTCTTAGAGGTTATTTGGTTGGTCTATTTACTGTTGGCTTGTTTGGCAGTTTCATGATTGAAGTATTGCTTATTTGATTATTTGTCTGCTGTTAAAGTTGCGTGGATAGTTATCCAAAAGTGCCTGACTAACCCTAACCCTAACCCTAACCCTAACCCTAACCCTAACCCTAACCCTTACTCAACCCAATACAGCACCACGGACACAACTCCTAAAAAGGATAACACTACCATACATCAAAAATATCTCAGAAACCACCAACAGACTACTATAATTATACGGAATCAGCATGGCACACAAGCCAACTAAACACCTTCAAAACATCCTAAGCAAACCAAAAGATCTAGCAATCCCAGAAGAAAAAAACAGTCAATCTACTACATACGGTGTAATAACTGCAACAACCACTGTGTAGTACAAAGAGGCAGAAGACTGGCAGAACACATCCATGAACACCAACTAGCAGTCAGAAGACATGATGAAAACTCTTCAATTTCATAACATATGGAGAGACTTAACCATAGTTTCCATTTGGGAAACTGTGATCATCCTAGATGAAGCCAAGTCCAAAAATGCTAGAGAATTTCTAGAAGCCTGCCACTCTGACAACCATCAATATACACATAGACATAAACAATTTGTCTATAAATTACAAGAGACAGTCAACAAGCAAAAGCATCTCTCAACCTAAGCATCTCTCTACCAGCAATCAGCATCCAGATGAGCATAGATTAACTCCGAAATTAACATTAGACCAACAATCAAGGAAACACAATACCCCAATCATGAAACTGCCAAACAAGCCAACAGTAAAGGCTCAACCAAAGAACCTCTCAGACCACCCTTACCAACACTGACAAGGCAAGCCACTAGAATATAAACTGAGAGCAAAACCCACTGCTTACTAGCCTGATGATGTTACCTAGTTTGGGTAATGAAATGTCTGCAAGAAAACAACCAAGCTTGCTATATATTAGCGAGCTAGCTATATATTAAGATATCAGACTAAAAACCAGGAGACTGGTTAAGATATCAAGTTGGAAACTAGGAGACTATCAATTGTAGCCCTGCCTTAGGCATGAAACTGGGTTAAGTGACTTAGGCTAGTCATTTTCACTCAGGCAGCCTCAACATTTCATACATTTTGTCATAGTAATTATGCATATAGGGAAATCACCTAGTTTATATATTTTTGTTTTGTTTCATTTCATGTAAATGTTTAACCGTCTATTTCATTGTTGCTTTATTTATCTAATTCAACTAGCCTGATTACTCACCTATACAATTTTTCCAGAATTAAAAGGGGATAGAAATGAAGGCAGGGTTCATTCAAAGGTTTGAAAAGGATTTTCCCTCCCTGGGACAGATGAGAAAGATGAAAGTACCTTGGATGCATAATCCATCTGGAGATGTCAAATAGCTTTCCTCTAACAGCAGTTTCAGTCTTCTTCTCTACCCAACTACTATAATTCCCCAGTTCTGTCTTTTCTTTTTCTTCTTATCTTGATCTTCTTATCTTGATTATCATCTTGATCTCCCTCTTACTCCTTTAATGCCTACTGTAGTTTGTGTACCCTTTCTATTGTATACCCTTTGAAAATTCCAGTTTTAGTAATTCCTAATCTCCATGTTTAAATTCTAGGCCAGAATAAGAATGGTAATCGGCTATCTATTTGCCCAGCTGTGTCTGTGGACTCGTGGATTGCCTGGTGGATTGTTAGTGCTTGGAACAGCTAATGTGGATGAAAGGTGTTGATTTATTAAATATTTTTAATTGCTGGGAACAATAAAAAACATTGATCTGTTTGGCTTTGCATATCAAATGGTACGATTTCAAAAGGAAAAGCTGTTTAGCACTCTGAAATATTTCTCTGTAAAATGTTTGAGCAGTTTAGCTTTTCCAAAAAACATTGCAGAAGCTCCTTAGATGTTATATTCTAGCATTGAGCGTATGCATTTTTTGGAGGAGTCTTTTTTGCTGCTGCCCGTTGTTTTTATCAGTTTTGTTAACTTGGTTCAGTATTTCAGTTTGTAGGGAACATAATTCTAACTTCACAACTTTGTGTGTATGTATGGTTTTCAAGGTGAAATTGTTGACAAAATGTCAATTCTTAAAACATTTTGTATACATGTTTTATAGTTGTCAACAAAAAGAAATAGGGGGAGTTTCAAAGTGCAGGCAGCAGTGTGGAATTGAAAGTACATTCCATTCATATTTTCTTCAGAAACTGATTAGATGACTGAAGCTTCTGCTGCGCAAAAATCTAATTGGAGAGCATGATTGATGACTCTTGGCTATGGACATATTTCATTGGATGATACAGCCAGAGGGGTGAGGGGAAAAGCAGGCTCAAGGGTGACAGTAAATTACATATCTCAGAGTCAGCTACAGCCAGGCTAATGCTAGCATGTTAACTTCTAATAAATCCTTTCAAGTTTTGGGAGTGTGGTCCAGGCTCATGATTTAATTGGAGTAACTTCCGGAATCCTGACACAAATGCTAAGATGAAAATTAAATGTGTCTGCTAGTGATTATGAATCACTCCTAGAACAAATCCAGGCCTGCTTCCCAGAGCTAGCTCTGGTATGTGACTGAATCACTTTGAAAATGGTGAGATTCTTCTCATGTTTTCTGTAAAGTAACTAAGTACCTGTTAGATATTCTTTCTATGTAAATTTCAAAGAGAAAGAAAATGCTCACCATATAGAGAAGGAAGATAACTGGACATGTTAACTCTGGAAGTCTTTTCTCAACACTAACATAAATTATACTAAAAAGCGGTCTGAAAAATAGTAACATTACATAAATTATAATTGACAGTTAAAACGCTTACTGTGGATTATTTTATTGACTGGATATATTTCTGAATGACCTTCCCTCCCTCCGATTCATTCATACATACTCAGGCTGTAATGGGAGGATAGAGAACAACTAAACTTCATCCCACTTAATAGAAGCGTTATATCAGGTCTTCCTTTCTCAGTCTGCAGACTGTTTCTCAGAATTATTGGAGAAATGTATACAATTATAATTACACAACAACTTTGGGGAATGTTGGATATTGTCTTTAGAAAATAAATTTAAAATATTTCCTTCTTAGCCTTCGAGGATATTTTACAAAATATGACTGTTCCAGTGGTGACATCAACCCTATTGGTGGAATTAGCAAAACAGATTTGAAATGCTTTATGCAATATTGCATTGAGAATTTTCAGCTAACATCCCTCAAAAGGTAAGTAGAGAAATAATGAAGCTTATTCCAGTCTGTTCCAGTATAGAATGATCTAGAATCTTGATGCTTTCTTTCCCATTGATTTTCCTAGGATTACTGAATGCTTCAGAATTTGATTTTAGCTCAGACTTGATAGAATTGCAACTAAATTCTGAATATGAATAATTAATAGTTCCTTTAAAGTATGGTTATATCAAGTACAGTTTTGCTGGCTAATAAGAAAGCTTTTTCATAATGACTTTCTTAACATTGGACGATTTTGTTAATACAAAGCAGTTAATACAAAGTTTTATGTAATAGTCTTGCACCCTTTCATTCTTCAACACAGTGACTAAATTAGTAGACCAGCAAAATACTGTGGACATAATATATTTAGATTTCAGCAAGGCATTCGACAAAGTAGACCACAACCTACTTCTTAGTAAGCTAGAAAAAAGTGGAATAGATAGCACCACCACCAGATGGACTCGCAACTGGCTGGCAAGCTGTACTCAATGAGTAGTCCTTAATGGATCTAAGTCTACATGGAGGGAAGTAAGCAGTGGGGTGCCACAAGGTTCCGTCTTAGGCCCAGTACTCTTCAATATCTTCATTAACGACTTAGATGAGGGAATAGAAGGGGAACTTACCAAATTTGCAAATGATACTAAGCCGGCAGGAATAGCTAACACCCAAGAAGATAGGCTCAAGATCCAGATGGATCTTGACAGACTAGAACACTGGGCCATATCTAACAAAATGAAATTCAATATAGAGAAAAGTAAAGTCCTACCCTTCAGCAAGAAAAACCAAAAGTACACATATAGACTGGGGGAAACCAGGCTCAATAGCAGTAACTGTGAGAGGGATCTTGGAGTCTTAGTGGACAACCAGCTGAATATGAGCCCGCAGTGTGCAGCAGCAGCCAAAAATGCTAATGCAATCCTAAGTTATATTAACAGAGGGATACAATCAAGATCAAGGGAAGTACTAATACCACTCTATAAAGCCTTAGTAAGACCACACCTAGAGTACTGCATCCAATTTTGGTCACCACGTTATAAAAAAGATGTTGAAATTCTAGAAAAAGTACTGAGAAGAGCAACCAGGATGATTAGGGACTGGAGACTAAGGCATATGAAGAACAGTTACAGGAACTGGGCTTGGCTAGTCTAGTGAAAAGAAGGACCAGGGAAGACATGATAGCAGTCTGCCAATATTTGAGGGGCTGTCACAGGGAGGAAGGAGTCAAGTTCTTTTCTAAAGCGCCTGTAAGCCAGACAAGGAATAATGAATGGAAACTGAACAAGGAGAGATTTAATCTGGAAATAAGGAGAAACTTTCTGACAGAACAATCAACCAATGGAACAGCTTGCCCTTGGAAGTTGTGGGAGCACCATCACTTAAGACTTTCAAGAGGAGATTGCCATTTGTCAGAAATGGTGTAGGGTCTCCCACTTGGGTGGGGGGTTGGACTAAATGACCTACAAGGTCCCTTCCAACTCTGATTATCCTAGTCAGGTTGATTGTTTCCTGATACCACTGTGCAGGCCACTTTCTTTCTATAAGTAGTAAGATTTTAGATAATTGTCTTGCTGAAATATCGAGCCTCTTTTCAGCTTCATGTTCTTTACTGCCTGGAACATGAGTTCTGGGATATGTTGATATTTAACTAAATCCATTCCTCCTACTATCCACACAGTTTTTCAAATGCCATTGTTTACGCCCAACTCCAAATGATCACAGAGCCATTTTCAGGCTTCATGTTTGGTGGAAAGGTGATCTTTTCTTGAAACATTTCACCTTTCCCCCCGCATCCCTCCCTCTAAAAGTATATTCTATAGATTTGTCTAATAGTTTCAGTTCATGAACTAATCAATTCCATTGTATTTTGCTCAAAATAGTTCAGGCTTATCAATGTTTTCTTTTGCATACCTTAGGATTTCATGATGAAGTCAGGGAAAAGTCTCTGTATAAGAAGCAGTTGTGTTCAATGGATAAATGCTGAATATTAGGTAAACTTTTTTTAGTTTTTGCAGGGATTTGTGAATTTTCTTGGCATATCTGACAAGTTTGGGGCAATGTTCCACAACCAGCGGAGAAAAAAAATGAAAAAATGAATCCAAAATAAGTTGGATATTTCAGCAAAACAACAGTCCAGAATATTACCTTTTAATCTACCATGAAGTATTTTCAAGTAAGAAAGATAAAGATTTTGGAACAGTGCTCATAAGTCCTCAAACTCTTGCTAAAGATCATCTTTTACTGACTTAGGAATTCAATGAAACGTACAGTTTGACCAAGAGTGCCCACATTTGTGCATTCATCTCTGTGTAGTCAGGCAACGTTGTGGTTGTACTTGAATAGAAATGTAACATGAGACAGACAAATGATGTGGCCCTGCTTAACAATTGCTTTGGTTCAGATGAAACATGTTCATGGTAATCTATAGTAAGATATAGTAATCTATTACTATAATTTGATTCATTTCATTTTACTTGTACACAGTATTATATCAGCACCCCCAACAGCGGAGTTGGAGCCCCTACAGAAAGGAAATGTTACGCAAATGGATGAGGTAAAAGTGCAGTGACTACTACCATCTTGTAAGCGCGTATTTTCAATTTGTAGCATCTTGTTCATGCAGTCTCTTCATCTTCATCAAAATTCAAGAAAATCTGACTTTTGTGATTTAGGCATCATATGGAACTCAGTTTTCATTAGCCAATTGTGTATTTTTCCTATTAAGATATTTCTGCTGCAGACTTGCATGTCTTCTGTAATTGTACAGGTAGCCCTTGACTTATACTCAATTGAGCCCAAAATTTCTGTTGCTAAGTGAGACATTTGTTAAGTGAGTTTTGCCCCATTCTACGACGTTTCTTGCCACAGATGTTAAGTAAATCTGGCTTCCCCATTGACTTAGATTGAACATTGTAAAAGGGGATCAAAGGACCCTGCGACGCTGAAACCATTATAAATATGAGACAGTTGCCAAGTCTCTGAATTTTGATCACATGACCATGGGGATTCTCGATGGTCAGGTGAAAAACAGTAGTAAGTCACTTTTTTCAGTGCTGTTGTAACTTCAAACAGTCACTAAATGAACTATTGTAAATCGAGGACTAGATGTATAAGTTACAATGGGCATATAAAGGCTGTTGAAGAACCTAGAATCTAGATTGCCAAAGATCTACCAGAGCTTCACTATTCCTAATTAGCCAGATACTTTCTAGTAACACCCCCTTTCACAAAAAATAAGGAATTTTATTGATAGTAGTTAGAAATCTGCACACACCAGACCACTCCAAAACTGCTTCTGAATTATAATGAATGACAGTAAGACAGAGTTGCAGGGTTTAATATAATGAAGTGATATGATTATTGCATTGTATTTTAATCAAGTAAAATATTTTCCCCACATTCAGAGAAATTTAGATTAACTATAGTTCCAATTCAATGATGGGTGGCTCTTGAATGTATGATTTTTATATTCATCTGGTTTCTCTTTTTCTTTTCTTTTTGCGCTGCATATGAAATGTTAGGTAGACATGGGTATGACGTATGCCGAACTCTCAGTCTATGGTAAACTAAGGAAGATAGCTAAGGCCGGACCTTATACCATGTTCTGTAAAGTGGTCACAATGTGGAAAGAGATATGTTCTCCAAGAGAGGTAAACAATGAATTTCCCTGATGCATCTACACAAGCAGCACTAAGCCATGGTATGATTATACACTGGAAAGGTCAAAATAGAAATTTGAATTTGGCAAATCATGACTTGATGATAATAGTTTTCCGGTTATGACTGCTTCAATTATTGACTATTCTTAATCAGCAAGTGCTACAGTTTCGTTCAGGAGAATTCCAGGGTTCAATGTGTGTCTTGGGGAAGCTGCCCAGCACATCTCACCTAACTGCAGCTTTGGTGGCACCCCATTTTGGCTTCAGCACTCCTGTTGATAATGCCGAAAGCAATCAGTAAGATTGGCCATGGTTAAATGTAGGATTGCAACCGTTGAATCTTAGTTATAGACTAATTCTATATTATGTTTCTACTGAGTGATGGTGGGTATTGATTTTTTGGTTTTTTTTGAGTTTCTGAAATACTACATTTTGTTCACCAGGTGGCATCAAAAGTTAAGCATTTCTTTCAAATGTATTCAATCAACCGACATAAAATGACTACCCTTACTCCAGCCTATCATGCTGCCAACTACAGTCCTGATGACAATCGCTTTGATCTGAGACCTTTCCTTTACAATTCTGCTTGGTCCTGGCAGTTCAGGTGTATAGATGAACAAGTAAGGATTAATCTTTTTATGTTTTGTGCCATCTGTGTTTAGAGGTGTATGCAGGCATAGGATTTAACGTTTTAGCTGACTGCTTGAATTTAAAGCCTTTCATCTGGTTGAGGCTGGGTTGGGTGGACAATTTGTGATCTGTGGGTACTCTCAAACATCATAGTTGAGCTAGTTGAATCTAGCTTCCTATGCACATATAGTTAGCAGTATAATATTTAATACTATTTAGGCTCTGATTTGATATTTATATAGAATATAATATAATTCTTTGTTGGTCAAGTGTGATTGGACACACAAGAAATTATCTTTGGTGCATAAGGTCTCAGTGTACTTACAAGCAACAAGTGATGAATCATGATCATAATCATAAAAGACAATCATCATAAATCATAAGATATAACCTCGGTGATTGTCATAGGATACTAAATAAGTAAACAACACAAATCAAAATAGGATACTAAATAAAGGCAATAAACATAAATCATGACATACAAACAACAAAGTTATAGTCATAAGAAGCTAAGGTAATAGGAAAGATGAAAACATGACAAGGATAATAGAGGTGGTTTGACATCCTAATGCATAGGCAGTGTTGTGGGAATTAATTGTTTGCAGAGTGATGGCATGGGGTAAAAAACTGTCTTTCTGTGTGGTTGTTTTGTTGTGCAGTGCCTTATAGTGTCATCTTGAGGGAAGAAGTTGAAACAATTTATGTCCAGGATATGAGGGGTCTGTAGATATTTTCACAGCCGTCTTTGTAGCTATTATTTTTTATTTTGCAAAGCCTTCTTTGTAGCTATAGTACTGTAGCTTTACAATTGTAGCTTTAACAGGATAAACTTTTTTTCAAAGTAAGCTTCTGAACAATGAGAATATGCTTTGTGATGGCAGATGAAGTTGTGCCTGCTGAAGCTTAGGATTCTCTCACAGTGATCATTCATGCATAGATTATTGCTTCTATACTTTTCATAGTATATTTTTTCATACTTGAATAAATGAAAGTTCACCTCAGCCAAGATAAAATATTAAACTTTTTGTATTTTCAAATGCCTGGGCAAATTTGAAGTGATTTATTTTCCCCAGTGAAAGGGTAGGGCTGAAGTCCTGTTTGCATCATCACTTAGCTTTGAAGATGATGGAGACCATGGATATGATTTTATTTTAATCATGGAGGCATCAGATGTGGAAAAATCATGCATCCCTGGTCATGTGGCTTTCATTCATACTAGCAATAGCATAATGTCAACAAATATTTGTTTGCTGGACAGCAGAATATTAGCACCTCTGCATATTCTACGCAGTAAATGCTAATTCTCTTATATACTTATATACCACTTTATCGTGCTTTATAGCCCTCTCTAACTGTTCTGATCCATGCCCTTTCCCAACAAATCGAACACAACCCAAAAGGAACAGAAACCTTGTAATGCTTTCACAAAATAATTAGCTGTGATAAGCACAAGCCGTGCCAAACTGTGCAAGACTTGCCAAAAGATAACAGACAAGAAATAATTTGCAATACAAGAATCTTCAAATACAAATTCAGGATACTGGAATGTCTACGAGGCTGGAGTTTCAAAACGTCTTTTCCTTCCGTAAAGTACATTCGTTTCACAGCTAGCTTTTATCTTCTTGAAGGAGGGGCCATTACCTTGCAGCCTTACTCCAGAGTTGCCTGTGCTGTTGTAACTGCTCTTTTCTATGAGAAATTCTGTGCGCACATGCACTTGGCACAGGCTCCTCGGGAACGTCCTTATCACTGCTGCCAGCCCCCACAATCTCTGAAGGCAGCAGTCCACTCCCTAATAATCTTGGCCCTTCATCTGAGTCCTCGCTCTCCTCAGCCGTCCACACCTGCTGCTGGCTAACTACAACACTAAGTGGTTTACAGAGTCAGCATATTGCCCCCCAACAGGTTGGGTCCTCATTTTACCCACCTTGGAAGGATGGAACGCTGAGTCAACCTTGAGCCTGGTGGGATTTTAAGTGCCAAATTGCAGGCAGCTGGCTGCAGAAGTAGCTTGCAGTACTTCACTCTAACCACTGCACCACAGAGGCTCATTATGGTCTGGGTGCTTAGATCATTACAACATCGCAGCATCCAGCGGTCACAGGATTTGCGACCTCCTTTGCCAGCTTCCAACAAACAAAATCAGTGGGGAAGCCAGCATGAAGCCAGAAATGGTGATGATGTTATGCTGCACTTAACAACTCTGATTCCCTTTATGATGGTAACCAGAAGTGCTGGAACTTCTGTTGCTAAATGGCATGGTAATGTGATGACATGCTTTAAAACTGCATTGCTTAGCAATGGAAGTCCCACTTGCCACTGTTAATCAAGGACCACTAGTATTTCTAACAAGGGAGAGGTGAGATGATCTATAGAAACACTGGTTTTCTACATATTGTATCACACAATGGCCTGATATTAAGTCTGAATCTTTTGTTAATTATTTTGATATGTTATTGTGATAATTATTTAATGATGCATATGTTTTTTTTCTTGAAGCTGTGTTTTACTATGACTTTAGATTAATACCTATTGTGAAATGCTTCTTTCTCATTTTTGTTAGAACCTAAACTATATATGTAGTACACAAATGTGTGTTTAAGTATTCCCAACAGGTTCTGCTGCTTGTCAAAGCAAGGTGCAATTTGGAACAGAGAAGAGTTAAGCACTTGTTGAAATTAGTCCATCACAATTCTCTTTTGCTTAGAAAACATAGCTGTAGTGATGCGATTCTGATAAAAATGTGCATGTAATATGGTGTTTTACTTAAAAAGATAACTGTGCTTTCTACTTTACAGGTTTCTAAATTAGAAGCTAAGCAAGCAATGGACTTGAAACTTCAGATCAAAGATTGAATTTGATTTCTCTGTCTTGCTGCTTCAAATGGATGATTTTTGCAGAATCATCTGTAAAATTGAATAATACAATCAAAGAATGAAGATTATTTAAATATTAATAGTGTTTGTCCTTTTAAGATAATCACTGCAAACAATGCAATTGTTACAATTTTAAAATCAAAGCTGTTAATCTAGAACATTTTGAATAACCTTAATGTATTTGTCTCAAATTGTGATTTTTAGAAACTATATTCATTAAAATCTAAAGATAAGCTGTTTTCTTGTCAGAAATTTTCTAAAATATATAAGCCAACGAAGTTCAACTGTACTTCATATTGGTTATATACGATGTGTTACATCAGGATTCTTGCAATTACAAAGTGAGGAGTTTCCTTTGCTATTTTCTTTATGTATTTCTCAAATTGCCTGATAGTTAAGAGCAAATCTTAGAAGTATCAGAGAGAGAGGAAAATCCAATCTTGTCTGCATAGCCAGATAAATTCAATACATGGACAGCCTTGTAAGCCAGTTGGTTAGATAATATAGCAATAGCACATAGACTTATATACCGCTTTTCAGTGCTTTATGGCCCTCTCAAAGCGGTTTACAGTCAGCATATTGCCCCCAACAATTTGGGTCCTCATTTTACCCACCTCGGAAGGATGGAAGGCTGAGTCAACCTTGAGCCTGATGGGATTCAATCTGCCAAATTGCAGTAGGAGTAGCTTGCAGTCTAACCACTGCAAGCTACAGAGAGCTTGCACTCTAACCACTGCTCCACTGAGGCTCTATTTTGTCATAATATGTTGTCAGCTGTCCCACAACTTTCATTTGGATATGTTCCTAGTTGAATGAGTATAAACCAATGTTTTAATAGCTAAACACAATTATAGAGACAACACACAGGAGTTCGTCACACATGGTCAACTGATGAAAATGTAGTTGGTTTATGTACTCAAAAGTAGGTCCCACTGGGACATACTACTTGAAAAATATGCATTGGGTTGGCGCCTAAATTATATACATTGATTCTGTTGCTCTGTTGCAGGGTTCGCCAACCTTTTGCACCTCAGAGACCACCAAACTCATAATTTTAAATCCTGTGGACCAGAGACCTTGGGAAAATCCCCCAAAAAGTCTGCAGGAAAATTCCCCACCCTGTTTTCCTATCAATTGATCATTCTTTATTTGGGATTGCAGGATACTGTCTCCATGTCTGTTCTCAGGGGGAGAGAGGGAGAGAGAGACTTTTGACTTCATGCAAGGAAAGCAGCAGAAGTCTTTTTTTCTCTCCCCCAAACTGCTAGAAATGAATCTTTGTAAGACTTGTCGCACTGGAGCAGGATGCCTTGCAGGATCCCAAAGACTCATTTCTGGCAGAGTTTGGGGAAGAGAAAGAAAGACTTTTGCTGCTTTTCTTGCATGTAGCCAAAAACAGAAGAAGCCGAAAGAAGCAGCCCGGTGGCCAGGCGAGGCGCGTGGGCTAAATGGGGCAACTTCCCCCCTCCCCCCTTCTCCCCCACTACCTCATGTTCGCAATGCAAATGATGCAAGCCTTGTGTTCCCACAGGCCATGTGGGTGGTGCAGCCTTGTGTTCCCCTGCAGCTTGGATTAATTGCTGTGGGGGTGACATTTCTCTGCAGACCACCAAAATTTTCTCATGGACCACCAGTGGTCCCCGGCCCACTGGTTGGCAACCACTGCTCTGGTGGGAATTTTAAGAACATGATTACAAGTAGTCCTTGACTTACAACAGTTCATTTAGCGTCCGTTCAAAATTACAAGACTGAAAAAAGTTACTATGCAGCATCTTCATGGTCACGTTATTAAAATTCACGTGCTTGGCAACTGTCTCGTATTTATGACGGTTGCAGTGTCCCAGGGTCACGTGATCTCCATATACAACCCTCTGACAAGCAAAGTCAAAGGGGAAGCCAGATTTACTTAACCATGTATTACCAACTTAACTGCTGTGATTCACTTAACTGCGGCAAGAAAGGTTGTAAAATGGGGCAAAGTTCTCTTAACAAATGTCTCGCTTAGCAACATCGATTTTGGGCTCAATTGTGGTCGTAAATCGAGCACTACCTATATTTGGTGAGTCAGAAGTTTTAGATATTAGAACAATTAATATGACGCAACACCAGTCCTAGCAATTCAACTTTTTGTGTGATGTGAAAAAAATATTTGCTTCTCTAATGAACAGGCTGCATATAGTTTTTTTCTTTTAACGTGAAGCAAAATCGGAAAAAGTCATTAACACTGGTCAATATGAAAATGGCTCCCTGCCACTTTATGGTGCAGTAAATTGTCTTTTTAGTGAATATAACTGGCTCTTCTACAATCTTATGTACATAAGATTGACAGTTCTCATTTGGACAGCAGATTAGAGGTCATAGAAGGAGTCATAGTAGGAAAAACATATTTAAATGCAAATATAATCTTGTTTACATCAGAGCAATCAGGAATTTCTGGATTCTGTTTTTAGCATTGGCTATGATAAGCTATGTGATAGCTAATAATCAAGTTCTTAGGTTTGGTGGATAACTTTTTAAAATAAAATTCTGGGAGATTGCTATCTGCTACTGTGTTAGGTTGTGGCAAAATGTCGGTAACCACAACATTTTTAATCTGATTGATTTTTGAAAGATGTTGCTCTATTTAGTGAACCATCTGGTAGCTTAGTTTAGTCCCTAGAGATTTCTCTATCCGCCAGGAGAGCATCTGATCAGTTAATACCCACACTTGCTGTTCTCTCTGTGTTAACTCCCACTGCCTGATTTAGCCATGAAAATCAACAGCTTGGGTATATTATGGTCATGCCTTATGCTGCTGACACTAGTTGCAAGCCAATAACATCGAATTATTATTTAAAATATGTATACTGTATGATAGGTCATGCTACTCATTCCTGAGGCAGCTTAGACATTAAAAATAGATATAATAGATACTAGTATTAAAACAAACATGTAAAATACAAAACATAGCACTTTAAATTAATTGTTGGAATAAGTGGGATGTTTATAAGAGATGTTAGATTTTTTTTTATTCATATCTATTCATACAGAAATTGCCTTGTGTTTTCTGTATGTGTTGGTCATAGACTTTCATAACTTTTAAGTTGTGCTAAAAAGATACTACTTCATAAATATTTGAGGGGGTGTTCTTCCTCTTATGAGTTTTGTTGATTTGATTTCACTTGAAAATTATTAATTCTACAATAGTGTAATCCTATGCTGGTAGAGGTGACTTTTACTAACGTAGAGATCTTTGGTGGCATACATCTTCATGCTATTTATCAAAGCTTTGACATGTATTGATTAACCTGAGTATGAATGAACACATCATCTACAATTTAGTTAACTGGTTAAGTTCAGTTATCACGGCAGCAATTTTGAGAATGCTCATGACATTCTTCCAAAATTCCAAGACTGTCCATTGACCAAAAATTATGGCACTATGACAGAGATGTTGTGCAATGTTGAGCATGAACAGTATCACAAGTGTACAGATTAAGAAATAAACTATTTGGAAAAAATCTAAAAATATCAGCTGCAATTGATATTTTGTTTCTACTACATTTCACTAAATTGCTATATAATAATTGTCCAAAAGTAGCTGGTAAACCCAATTCTCTGTATGTCTATATAGAAAGACCCACTATGTTCATTGTTATTTCTTAGTAGGTAAATAGAAGATTGCAGCCTAAGCACAAGATAATATAAACTGTTCTCAGGTCTGCTGATTTTTATGATGCAAGCTTATGGGCATATGACACATTGCAAAAGACCTTCAGGAATTTTGGATAGAAATCATAAAAATGAGGTTTCCCTAAATCAATATGGTAAATCACCCAATAGTTATGTGGACAGACATAAGTATGTTCACCTCTTACCTTGATTCTAATTATTTTCAAAGAAAAGAGTTTAGTTAGCACATTTCTGCATATTCACTTGATTACCTTTCATTTTGCTTCTTTTGAATACTGAGCATTTAAAACCTGATCCTTCAGCCAGTTCGTTTGTTTTTTTTAAGAACATTAGCTTTGGAGTTCCTGCAATGACTCCAAAACAATGTTTGAAATGGGATTTGTCAGTAGAGTATTTGGCGAAAAAAAGAAAAGTAACAAAGATCACTTTGCTTCTCATGACAATCGGGTTCCTAAATGGATTGGAGAATCTTCATTGATGCTTCTAGATTTAGTCTTGCATTGTGTAATAATTTTGTCTCATCTATCCATGATAGAAAGCACAATGATATCCCTATTTCGGATTTTCCCTAGTTTTTCCTAGGGAAAATACAAAACTGAAGAGCTGCACAATTTTTTTTGGCTGGCAGCTCTTAAAGAGAGGGGGAACTAGCCTGAATCTGTAACGTTTGCATAATATGATTAGTCATGGTGAATCATGGTTTACTCAACTCAGTTTTCTGGTTTTGTATAATAGGTCAAATCATAAACTGATCACATTGGGTGAGTCTACATAATACAAAGCTAAAATGTAGTTAGTCTATAGTGTACGGTGCCACGTATACCTATGCCCATGTTTGTGTGTACTTGCACAATTATTCTAATACAGCCATGATTGTTTCTTCACTTGTGACTTCAAGATAAAGAGTGAACATTGATTTCTGTATATTAGATTTGTTGCTTGCTATTATTTTGTTCTAGAGAACTCTTTATCCTTTTTATCTGTCAAGATGATACCTACCAGCCTCAGTTCTCTCAGATAAAGCATCACCCCACTATTTACCAAAGGATTTTTCTTAAGCTAACAAATGTATAAGGATGTCCAAATCAAGACACACATAAATGACTTAGCCTTTAGCATTCTTTGCTGGTTTTGCTGTGAAAGACTAATCCAGCAGACTTCTCTAAAAGATTCACATAATCTCTACTATCATGTACTGATCTTTTACAACCCTTACAACCCTTGCTATTATAAACTGCCCGAGCAGAAGTAGAAATCCTACTGTTTCTTGCTGAATAGTGATGGAGTCATACTCACCTTTATCAATTAAACATATTTTTATAACCTTGGTCTTATGTCTTCATCTTGGTATGATGGATTGCTTGGAAATTTTGGCAGTTGCAATCTAAAATAG